TCCTGTAAAGTACATTTTGTGTTGTTCACTGAGATCAAACAAGCAAATCCAGACTAGTACTTTTCGAGTTGTTTTGTTATTTCGTATTTACACTTACGTGACACTTTGAATCGATTTTTAAATTGAGAAAAACAGGTTTTGTTCATTTCCGTGAGTACTTTAATATATTATTGTGTGATGAATTTAACTGGATCAGTGGTAACATGTGATATTAATATTCCATCAATTTCTCTCCTGGTTGGTCCATCCAAAAAAGTGGTTTACCACTTCGGTGAAACCCACGAGCACGGGTATGGTGCTGACAAACCAAGAAACATAATCGGGGCGAACCGGGATTCGAACCAACAATCATAGGTTTCTGGCGTGCCCAAGGGACGCAACTCTGCACAGCGAATCTCGGCGCCTGATACGACTGGGCCACTCGTGCCCCAAAATACAAAATGGAAAGTACATCACAAACTTCTAATCTAATCAATTACTTTGATTTGACAGATATGACATATTATCTTAGTAGCATTTTATTGTCAGGTCAGGACTAAGTGCTGGCCAAGGCATGACATAGCTCGTTTGATGCCGGAGGAATTTGGTAACAATCCAGGCACGATGAGCACGTGCATTATCGTCTTGAAAGCTGAAACGTTTTGCCCATGGCACCAAGGACAATTTGTAGCGCCGTTCGGTCAGTGATACAGCCAAATGCCATTATGGCCCCACAACTAAAACAATCGTGATGTACGACTTTAACATCCACACAACCATCCCCAGGACGTCTTAATACTCGATTACGTCGGTCATGGAAGCCCACCGTGAACCTCGGTACCCCAGGAGACATGACATTAGCCCAACGTTGATTATCCCAGTGCTTACATTGCCAACACCACACTGCCCACGCCTCTGATTCAGTAACGTGTAGTTAAGTGATGGCACGTGGACGTCGTGCACACACATGTCATATGTGCAGATAATTTTGCACCGTTTTGGCATGTACAACTGACGTGTGCCCACCTGTAAGATGCCTGTGACACATAAAGGTTAAGCACGCTGCCAACGAAGAACGAAGTGGGGTAAATTTCACGATAAAACATTGTTCTATATTGAATTATTTCTGGAGATTCGAATATGCCCTCGCAACTTGATGACGTCATATTTTGGATGTGGGAGAGATATGACCATCGGTATTAGGAGAAAAAGTACAGATAATCGACGTGAGGATAGTGAGAATATACGGGGAATACCAACTTCCTAGGTCGGATTCTCATTCAGGGGGTCATTATTATGAAAATTTGGGTAAATGGTTTTAAAGCTAGTATATTCTATCAACACCCTTAAAGAGGCCGTACATGATGTTAATAACTCATATAAGAAATAATCGACTTGTGGTCGTGGTTTATCTTACAATAAAACACTGCAGGGAGATTGAACAATGAGGAGCGCAGCCCCGATTTGTATATTCTCACTGCAGTGTTTTATTGTTCGATAAACAACTTCCGCTCACTGTTTATTTCTTAAATACACAAAAACAAAGTCAGTGCACTATCGTGTCACCTGACAGGCCGCCGTTGCATGACAGGACCACAGATGTGCCGCGTCAGGCAATAACTACTTACATTTCCATGGATATTGTGTGAATGGCGGGTGTTACTGGTGGGGCAAGACATACATACCCTTTTCTCGAACATCTTGTGTCACTCAATTCAGTGGTTTATACATAACAAATCAGGTCAATCGGTGATGGTTCAATAAGTTCAAAGCCAGTCACGCATTGCAGCCATGGCGACCACAGACTTGTGCACAGATGGATTATCCTGGTGGGACAACTCACCAGGAGGGATTCTTCCATAACGTTTAGGATTGATATTCTCAGGCAGTTTAGTATACTATTGGCCATTAATGGTTTGATATATCGGAAGGTGGTCTACCATTTTCCTTTTGAATTTCAAAATATGAAGGCATTACATTACCAGCTTACAGAACTTCGCATTCTTTGTAGGAGATGTTTTCACGACTATGACAATATTTTATTTGCTCCTGAGTGTAGTGATACCAAGACCTGTCCTTGGTTAGAACTGAATCAGCTGGAACAACTTAAAAGAGACGTAATTCTCGCGAGTCATGATGACCCTGCAAGCGTTTCTGATCAGTCAGAGTCAGAAGAAGCATTGGAAGCCAGCGTGCTGAAAACTTCGTCATCAACCATTTCATTCCTCAGAATGTTCTCTTCTCTCTCACGAGGGATGCCTACCCTACTGGCTATTTGGCGTGTGGTGAGTCGGCGATCATAATAATCATATCATGTATTGTATCTAATTTCCTTAGTGGGGCCAGTCGGAGGTCTTCCTGAGTTACTCTCTTCCCCCCTTGAACTCTGTTGCTCACACCGCAACAGTGGCCACAGAAGGAGCATCATCCCGTGAAGTCCGCATAGAGGCTGTTGGAGTTTCCCCTTTCAGTTGGAGATTCTTGATGATCTTTCCCGTAGCTAATATTACCCAATACCATCAACAGAAAATACCTGGTCATTTGGTGCTACCTAGGGCTACCTGGTTGTGTAGTTGGTTCCAATGCATTCTGCAAGCATGGGAAGTATTGTACTTAATACATGCAAATTGTAGGCGCAGAGCTTGTACTTGTTTGCGCATCCTTACAATTGGTTAGGGCAACTGTTAAGCAAGTTATGTTAATATGTTAATAAAGAGAGAGACTGAGAGATAACAATTATTAGCATTGTGTTGTCGTATCGTAATCATGACATAATCATGAGCCTTTTGCGAGCTTAATACATATCGTTTTTCCTTATATATGATATTAACGATATGGACACACATGAGGGTAATGATGTCTTCATGACATAATGTCATGCTCAAAATAACTGGCGATTTAGAGAAAATGATATTCACTTTAGTAACCTCTGGAATATTAGGCATGTGTTGACCACATTATTTGTAATAAAGTAAGAAATTATTTGCTAGCATATTTGTTAAAATAGCTCTCATAAATCGGTCTAACATATTCCATTCCTTCCCGACCCGTGGTGCTGACAAACCTAGAAACATAATCGGGGCGAACCGGGATTCGAACCAACAATCATAGGTTTCTGGCGTGCCCAAGGGACGCAACTCTGCACAGCGAATCGCGGCGCCTTAGACGACTGGGCCACCCGTGCCCCCTCCCCAAACGGAAATGGTGGAGGTTAGCTGGTGTAAACATATTTGACATGAGTTGTCTGATCAGTGTACATTATTATTTGTGACTGTTGTGTGCATATATCTAACCTCACAACATTTTACACATGTTACATGCCACACAGAACAGAACTGTTTTCACTCAGACTTCAGACACGGTACCTCGGCACACGAGACAAAAACGACAGCATAACATGTTGAGTGAAACAACCAGTGTACAAGGAAATTAACCCGGCTATCAGCAATGTGAACTGTGATTGGCCATTTTTAAATACGTGATCAGGGTGAGACGTGCAGCACACACCACAGCGGGGAGGTTACCTGAGTTGCAGCCGGACTGACGTTGCTTCTGAGGTACGTGGTTATTGTGTGTGTCACAGCTCCGACGTTCATACAGTTTGGCCCTCACTCTATGAAGGTTCATACTCCAATGAACTCACACAAAGTGAAGGTCAATTCTTAAATAAACTGTACACGCTTTCTTAGTATTTACGTGATGAAGAGGGAAGAAGTTACAAATAATAGAAGGAGTCATTATCCAGGTGTCATCTATTCATGTCCTTCCAACTTCTAAGTGCCTAAAAACTAAAGTACTAAATACTTCAATTTGCTATTCAATCAGTTTTCAGTGTGCCAGAACATACATACTATCAGTCAAATAATGTTTTAAACAATTGATTAAGTTCAGATGTATTTCTAGGTCAATTATTAGCTTCATGCATCAACTTGTAGTCCATCCTACCTTAATTAATTAGGAAGCTTCATGCATCCATTCAATTGTTTAAAGGATTAATTGACAGATAGTATGTATGTTGAATTGTGGCACCTTAGACCACTGGGCCACCCATTCTTCCCCCGGTATGTACCCCAGGTCGTGCATGTCATAACCAGAGTTGCCAAAGATCGAGATTTCATATTTCACATATTTCACGTGCATCATGCAGAGGCGATTCAAACCATGTTCTCACAAACTGGCATATACTTTTTAAATATATTTTTAACTAGGGTTATCAAAACAATCATAAGACACAAAGGCCAAGTGCTCTAGCAAATACATGGTATTTGCAATCTTGTTAAAGTTTGCGATTTATGAAGGCCAAACAGATCAGATTGGGAAGAATGGATCAGATTGGGAAGAATGGGTGCCACAATTCGCTATGCAGAGTTGCGTACATTCGGTACCCTAGAAACCTAAGGTCGTGGGTTCGAATCCCACTATGACCCAGTATTGTTTCTAGATTTGTCAGCACCACATCCCTGCTCCTGGGTTTCACTTGATAAACGTCTGAGACCTGCATTATTTTGGGTTTTCCTCACACATTAAACTGACACACCATGATATATCTGGAATACTGTTCAAAGCAGCATCACTCACTCACTCACTCACTCACTCACTCACTCACTCCTTGATCGTATTAAAATTAAATGACATTTTAGGAAAGCTACCAGTGCGATAGAAGTAATATGTTCTAACACCAGTTTTGGAGACAATGTTCATAATATATGTGAAACCACAAATAAACGTGACAAACACATCGATAATGTGCAGTATGATTCAAAGGGTAAAAAATTGCTTATTCAGAAATGAACAAAAATCGCATTTTCAATCTCACTGAAAAGGAAGAGGGCAAAGTTTCAAATTTACAACTGATTATCTATGACGGATCAAAATGATTCTTCTTTTTGGCGCTTTAATTCCTATGGCACATTTGAACAAACTACATTTCTGTCGGTGTGTTGACAGTCGACAGAGTTGACAAATAGGACCATTTTGTACCAATCCTCCCATGTGTTAAGTTATTCATCTGTGTGCTTCAGGATGTATCCTGTTACGAAGGAAACTGATTTGGGCCTACTCCGTTCCAACTATGTCTTCCTGCTGAAAACACTAGAAGTGGATGATGTAGTAGCTTATCTGTTTCAAGAAGGCGTCATCAGCCAGAAACAGCGTGAGGAGATTCAAGGAAAAACTCCACGTCGAGAGAAATGTATTGCTCTTCTGGATGTCTTGATGAGAAAAGAAGAGGCCGACTACATAGAACAATTTCTGTGCGCACTTGATGATCAGAAAAATGTAAGAGACCGTCTCCGGCAGTCCAAGAACACGGGTAGGTCAGCTTGTGACGTACTAAATAAAATTGTGTTTAGATCTTGACCTACATCTTTTGAGGTAAGAAATTGTGATAACAAATTATAAGAATTGTCTTTCACTTTGTGTGAGTTCAGAAATGAACATTGTTTGGCCCTCACTCTATGAAGGTTCATACTCCAATAAACTCACACAAAGTGAAGGTCAATTCTTTAATAAACTTTACACGCTTTCTTAGTATTCACGTGATCAAGAGGGAAGAAATTACAAATAATAGGAGTAGCCACCATCCAGGTGTCATGTATTCATGTCCTCCCAACTTCTAAGTGCCTAAAAACTAAAGTACTAAAGACTTCAATTTGCTATTCAATCAGTTTTCAGTGCGCCAGAACATACTATCTGTCAAATAATGTTTTAAACAATTGATTAAGTTAAGATGGATTTCTAGGTCAATTATTAGCTTCATGCATCCACTTGTAGTCCATCCTACCTTAATTAATTAGGAAGCTTCATGCATCCATTCAATTGTTTAAAGGATTAATTGACAGATAGTATGTATGTTGAATTGTGGCACCTTTGACCACTGGGCCACCCATTCTTCCCCCGGTATGTACCCAAGGTCGTGCATGTCATAACCAGAGTTGCCAAAGATCGAGATTTCATATTTCACATATTTCACGTGCATCATGGAGAGGCGATTCAAACAATGTTCTCACAGACTGGCATATATTTTTTTAAATATTTTCAACTAGGGTTATCAAAACAGTCATTGATAAGGTTAGAGCAATCGGACCCTGGTGTCAGTCGCGCCTCAAACTAATCATAAGACACAAAGGCCAAAGGCTCTAGCATATACATGGTATTTGCAATCTTGTTAAAGTTTGCGATTTATGAAGGCCAAACAAACATGGAAATAATTCACATTTCATTTTGATAAATCCGTCGTCAGTTACATCGTTCAAAGATCCTTTAATACATATTTCTTTTTGGAAGTCATGTGTCATTGATAATTCGTAAACAACCATCACTTTCCAACTTTCACTTATAGGCCTAAATTAAACAAATGTAGTGCTATAAATAGCTTGTTTTATGTCAACACAAACCGGCTGTTATCACTGCGGGTTACGATATGTTTAATGACTGTGTATTAAAAGATTTTATCATCAGCTTGGACTGATTATTAGAGAAAAATGCACCTTACGGACTTCAATCAGATTGAGAAGAATGGGTGGCCCAGTCGTCTAAGGTGCCACAATTTTCGCTATGCAGAGTTGCGTACATTCGGTACCCTAGAAACCTAAGGTCGTGGGTTCGAATCCCACTATGATCCGGTATTGTTTCTAGATTTGTCAGCACCACATCCCTGCTCCTGGGTTTCACTTGATAAACGTCTGAGACCTGCATTATTTGGGGCTTTCCTCACAAATTAAACTGACACGCCATGATATATCTGGAATACTGTTCAAAGCAGCATCACTCACTCACTCACTCACTCCTTGATCGTATTAAAATTAAATGACATTTTAGGAAAGCTACCGGTGCGATAGAAGTAATATGTTCTAACACCAGTTTTGGAGACAATGTTTATAATATATGTGAAACCACAAAAAAACGTGACAAACACATCGATAATGTGCAGTATGATTCAAAGGGTAAAAAGTTGCTTATTCAGAAATGAACAAAAATCGCATTTTCAATCTCACTGAAAAGGAAGAGGGCAAAGTTTCAAATTTACAACTGATTATCTATGACGGATCGAAAATGATTCTTCTTTTTGGCGCTTTAGTTCCTATGGCACACTTGAACAAACTACATTTCTGTCGGTGTGTTGACAGTCGACAGAGTTGACAAATAGGACCATCTTGTACCAATCCTCCCATGTGTTAGGTTCTTCATCTGTGTGCTTCAGGATGTATCCTGTTACGAAGGAAATTGATTTGGGCCTAATCCGTTCCAACTATGTCTTCCTGCTGAAAACACTAGAAGTAGATAATGTAGTAGCTTATCTGTTTCAAGAAGGCGTCATCAGCCAGAAACAGCGTGAGGAGATTCAAGGAAAAACTCCACGTCGAGAGAAATGTATTGCTCTTCTGGATGTCTTGATGAGAAAAGAAGAGGCCGACTACATAGAACAATTTCTGTGCGCGCTTGATGATCAGAAAAATGTAAGAGACCGTCTCCGGCAGTCCAAGAACACGGGTAGGTCAGCTTGTGATTTCCTGTTTTGGGAATCAGTTCGAATTTCATCATAAGGCTACAAGTGAAGCAGTTTTCACCTGCATCTTTCCGGAAAATAGCTCAGACTAAAATAATATTTGGTCACTTTCTATTTTGTGTGCATGTTTCTATGCAGTTTCTATGAGTGTGTGTGTTTCTGGAATGCGTGTGTGTTTATATCAGTGTATGTTTCTCTCTCTCTCTCTCTCTCTCTCTCTCTCTCTCTCTCTCTCTCTCTCTCTCTCTGTGTGTGTTTCTCCATGTATGTTTCTATTATGTTGGTCTGTCTTCCAACCAATCCATTATTATAAATATTATAGATAATAGTTAGTTGATATTTGTTTCTGTATTTTCAAGTCCGTTTCTTCACATGGCATGTTTCTTCCCAACATATACCAAAGATGATAAATGTCACCTTTATCAGTTAAATCAGTAAAAGAACACTCATTTCAACCTAAGTGTGCAGATCTTGCTTATCCAAGACCGGGAATTTCACACTGCAAACAATGTTTTTCTGTCCATGATAAAAAAACTTAAGCGCGATGGCCTTGACCAGACAACACATCATGCTGCTATCCCCGAGAATGATTAAAAACAATTGTGAAAGTTTGGATACGGAAACTCCTTTCGGCTTGCTTCGTAAAGTGTGGTTCGCCCTTACACTCGGTTTCGCTCGTCGTGGTAAAGAAAACCAAAGGGAAGTAACTGCATCTTCCTTTCGTGTATCCACTGATGAATAGGTGTTCGAGTTTATTGAAATTACACACTCCGAAGTCACTAAAAATCACAGGGGGGACCTCAAAGACTCAAATGGGTCCAACAAACGCATTTATGCAACATCGGACCAATTCTGTCCTGTACTTTCATTTGATAAATACATGTCTCTCCTCAATCCCCCAATGGTGCCTTTTACCAGGCTCACAAGAGACGAGTCCATGTCGACGACACCGAATGGAACACCACGAGGCCAGTTGGTGTAAATGTAATTGGCAACATGATGAAAGAAATTTCTACCAACGTTGGTCTCAAAGTGTATACAAATCATTGTCTTCAGGCAACTGCCGTCACTTCGCTGTCAAACGCAGGCATTGAAAATCGCGAGATTTGCAAAATTACTGGCCACATAACCGTTGCAGTCGTATTCCATTGACTCAGGCTCAGCTCAAAAACAACATTATTCGAACATTCTTCAGGGACAGCAGCAGCTCGCTGGCGAACGTTATTTGGTACCTGTCCAAGATACAAATATCCAGCCACTGTCCACTGCTCCCGTGAATAACTTCCAGGTTAATTCTTCTGCTAATTCCCATGGTCTCTTTCACATATGTAATTCCACCGTAACAGTAAACAACTTTTTCCACCCCAGCTAAGCTGCATGTCTAAAATCTCGCACGTTTAACGTCACCACCTCAGTTTCAGGCGAGTTGACACAATCTTGTACAGAGGCTAAACAGTATGTACTTCTTGTATTTTATAAATATGCATATCTACGAATTACAAGTAAGATGAGGAACTGTGATAAAGAATTGAAATTGTGATATTTCCTGTTGTTTGTTTATTTTCTGAGCAATGGGCTTGAACATGTGACCACCCCTTTCGTAAAATGAACCATCAGTATTGGAGTACCTCGAAAACATTGATCAGCACCCCATATCATGCATCTTTTCGAAGGTGAGCACGAGGAGACGTATTGATAACGACAGTTTAGTTGTGTCATAGTTAGAGAACATGTAAAAATATATTATCATTTTGCAACACAAAATAAAAACAGGCTATAAGATCGCCGACAACTGAAGGTTGATCACCACGCGAGGGTCCATGGGGGACTTACAGTACTTTCGCTACCTGCATGGACCCCAGCAGGATTTACACCATCCCTTCAGTGGTTGGCGATTATTGTCAATTTAGCCGAATTAAACGAACATATATTCTGCGATTAAAAATAAATATACTGTGAATGACGTGGACTTACGTACCATCTCCGGGGGGACAATTCTTTTACGCTACTTCAACCCCCTTCGAGGTACAGCCACTGACAATCTTAGTTATCCAATTTATTCTACCAATATTAAAAGATCATTGATTAATTACAAAACACATTTATCAAAATTTATGTACAAGATCTATTTCTTTTAAAAAACTAAGGATTAAATGAGAGCTGATATTGTTAAAAAGATCCTTTAACGATGAAACTTTGAAATAGTTATCCCTTGTGACGGAAAAATCTATACAGTCAAGCAAGACATGATTGACTGTGATTCTTTCATCACAAGGAATACAGAATGGAGGATCCTCCCCTTTCAATATATATTCATTAGTATATCTTGAATGGCCAATACGACATCTGGACTGACAACCCAAGTAGGTATAACCGATATTTGGTTTTGATGCATGTAATTTTTTTATACCCACTTCGGTGTCCCACTTCTTTTTCATTAGATCTCTGATGTAAGAACGGATAACAGGTTTATAATCACTGTAGGGAAGAAGAAGTGGTGTCACAGATTTGTTGAGAGCTGCTTTTGCAACAGCATCAGCCATTGTGTTACCAGTGATTCCAACATGGCTTGGTAACCAACAGAAAACGATGTCGTATTGGCCAGTAGCAAGATCATTAAACAATTAAAAAAAGTGGATGCGTGGAAGACATGTTTTTAATAGCTTGAACGCAAGAAAGAGAGTCTGAAAAAATAATGAACTGTTTATGTTTGGCTGTGGGTGTACTTTAGAGCTGTTAAAATAGCATTTGTCTCTGCTGTGAAAATAGAACATTTATCTGGTAATCTGGTTGAGATAGTCCTGGATCCAATGATGGTGGCGCTGGCAACAGTGTCACCGTCCTTGGATCCACCTGTAAATATAGATCTGTGAGTATCATACGTGCTACGTAATTAATTATATTGCTGTTGATAAATTAGTTGATTTGTGTCCGATTTTTTTAGTTTGCTTAATGTCAGGTCCGCCTCTGGCTTAAGTAACTGCCAAGGTGGAGAAGTGAACGGCCGAGTGGGGGCTATGGTTTCAAGATTGATTTGGGCAGCAGAAACATCAGACTGTATTCTTATTCCAAGTGGTGGATTAAGAGATGTCTTTTTATTGTACTGTGAATAGGTGAAGTTCGGAAGGGTCAAAGACAAAGCCTCAGGCCTTGGTGATGAATGGTGTCCAATAATTTTAAATTGCTCGTACAAGCCCCAACAATAGATGATGGAGCCGTAATCAAGACTAGAGCATATAAGAGCTTGGTATAGCTGGAGGAGGGTTTTCTGATCCCCTCCCCACTTGGAATAAGAGACAACTTTTAACAAATCTGGGGCTTTCAGACATTTATTCTTTAAGTATTTTATATGAGGTAAAAAGGTTAAATGATGATCGAAAATTATACCCAAAAACTTCGCTTCTTTTACAACTTTAATGGGGGTGTTATCTTATATTAGTTCAGGGTCTTTGTGAGGTTTATATTTTCTGCAAAAGTGAATACAGTTAGTTTTAGATTTAGAAAATCTAAAGCCATTTTCTAATCATTATTTTTGGATTTTATTTAAACACAATTGCATTTGCCTCTCAATCGTATGCATGTTCCTACCACGGCAAGAAACATTAAAGTCATCCACAAACAACGATCCATCAATTGAATCGTTTAAAACCTTTGCTAAACTGTCGATTTTGACACTAAACTAAGTGACAGACAAAATACTGCCTGGTGGGACACCCTGATCCTGATTATAAAGATCAGACAGGGTTGAACCCACGCGGACTTGAAATTGCCTGTCAGTTAAAAACTTGGATATAAATTGAGGCAAACGGCCTCGCAATCCAAAATCATGTAAATCTTTTAAAATACCGTCCTTACTTGTAGTGTCATAGGGTTTTTCTAGATGGAAAAAGATAGACACTGCATGTTGTTTATTTATAATGGCATTCTTAACGAATGACTCCAATCGAAATAACTGGTCAATGGTACTGCGATTTTTACGAAATCCATATTGAATATTTGTGTTTAAGTTATTGGATTCCAAGTACCATGTTAATCTATTATTGACCATGGGTTCCATGGTTTTGCAAACCCAGCTAGTCAATGAAATTGGTCGATAATTGGAAGGATCAGTATGGTCATGTCCAGGTTTAGGTATGGGAACAATGATAGCTTCACGACACGAAGAAGGAAATTCTCCTGACGTCCAGATGTTATCAAATATTATCAAAAAGGGTTTCTAAACGGGATTGCGGTAAATGTTTTAATAGTTGATAATGTATGTTATCAGACCCTGCAGCAGTGTCCTTAGCCTGTTCAAGTGCAGTATGGAGCTCATGAATGGAAAAGACTTCATTGTAATTTTCCCTGTTATCTGAATTAAAATGTAAATGTTTCTTTTCCTGCAGCTTTTTGTTTTTTGAAATTGAGGGACATAATTAGACGAGGAAGAATGTTGAGCCAGAGTTTCACCAAGTTTATTTGCAATATCTGATGTATCAATTAATAATTGATCCCAATCTTAGAGATGATGGATGCTTGATTAAGAACCCTTACCATTTATAGTCCGAATCCTGTTCCATACGTGTGAATTTATCTTGGATACATAATTTTGCCAAGATTGAAGTTTGTTTTGTTTGAAAGTGCGCCGGGTTTTAGCATTTACAATTTAAAATTTAATGAGATTATGGACCATTGGATGGCGTCGGAAATATTGTTCAGCCTTTTTCCTTGCCTTCCTAGCTTGTTTACAATCATTGTTGAACCATGGTTTATGTATGTGAGGATTTAAGGAGGACTTCGGAATACATTCATCAGCTATTTTAGTAAGTTAATCAGAGTCGGGAGTCGGGAACATAAAGAAGTACTTCAGGTTTTAGTTTGTAGAACAAAGTACTTCATATAAAGCCCAGGTGGCTTTAGTAAAATTCCAACGTGAAGATGAAGGAACATCAGATGGATTTACAGATTTTAAAATGATTGGAAAATGGCCACTTCCACAAAGGTCATCGTGGACTGACCATTCAAATACACTTAGGAAGTTAGAATCTACAACTGCTAAATCCAGACAAGAGTAAGTACCAGTTGCCGGATGTAGATATGTGGTAGAACCGTCATTCAAAATGCATAAATCATTATTTAAGAAAAAATCTTCAAGTAATTTACCCTTTGTATTGCTGTCAGTACTACCCCAAAGTGGGTTGTGGCCATTCAAATTTCCCATGGGAACACAGGGTTTAGGGGTTGGTCATAAAGTGCCTGCAGATCGGACTGTCGCAGAGAATAAGATGGTGGAATGTATAAAGAACACAATGTAAATACAACATTCAAAGTGACACGGACTGCAACAGCCTGAAGAGGAGTAATTAGAGGAACAGGACTATGAATGACGCCCTGCCTCACCATAACAGAAGATCCTCCAGTAGCTTTATCACTCAGGTTCAGTTTTGTGTTTCATGACTATATAACTTGATTTAGTCACAATATGGCTGAAATATTGCCGATGTGACTATAAACCATAACTCACTCACTCACTCACTCACTTAATCACTCGGAGGAGAAAAGCAATGGTAGGAATCATACTGTCTTAAAATAAAATTATCTGTTGATTTGAGGAAAGTTTTCTTGAAGACAAAATGCTGAAGGTTTTAAATCCTGAAATAATAGCTGAAGGTCGCTAAACTTGATCCGAAGTCCTCTACAATTCCATTGGATTAAACTGGGAGAACAAATCATCGAGGCTCAATTGGAGATTGTGAGCGGGGGGAAGGTCCTCTACGCTGTAATGGCAGCGATGGAGTAACCTCCATATCCAGAGGTTCAAAAGGGTTATGAACCTCCAGAGGAACATTCAAAGGCAAAGACTCCTCAACATGTTTGAGGGCCCTTGCTTCTTGTTCTCAAGTCAGGTACAGTGTCTGGTTCAGTGTCTGGTTGAATGGTAGGTTCGGGCAAGGTGAGAGCCCATAGACTGGGAGACAACGATTATTAGCATAGTGTGTCTTTGTATCGTAATCATGACATAATCATGAGCTTAATACATATCGTTTGTCCTTATATATGATATTAACGATGTGGACACACATGGGGGTAATGATGTGTTCATGACATAATGTCATGCTCAAAATAACTGACGATTTAGAGAAAATGATATTCACCATAGTAATCTCTTTGGAATACATAGTCATAAGAAATCTCTGCCGAGCGCAGAGTCTTGTACGATTAAAGTAACATTTAGCCATTGAAAGTGTAACGAGTGAGTCTAGTTTGATAAACTGATGGTTATTAGGGAACATATCACACGTATTTACTAGGGCTGCCATAGTGCATTCGTTGCAGCCCTGGTATTTACCAATACGTGTCCTGCAATCCGTGTTTATACCATACGCCAACCAAGCCTGCTTGCAAGTGTTACTTGCCATGAGATGAAAATGGTACAGATTGAATTATCTGTGCTATATGAATGAACCTGTTGTTCTTTGGTATTAAGAGTCCTAACCTATATGATGGCATACTGATTATATATTTGTAATATTAGATAATGTGCGCAGTGATATGAAGTGGCTGTTGACAGGCTAAAGTTGTTCACAGAAATGGTTGATCTGCCCGTTCTACTTGTCATCTGTGTATTGATGTATGACATATCTGAGAAAATAACTGATCATTCACCGTATAGCCGAGTGAGTATCAACGTCTCACTGTGAGTGTGGCATGAAAAATGTACAAGATTATCTGTTATTAAGGTGACTTGCGTGGGTATTTATATGTTTCTTGAAAATACTGGAGACAACAAATTCAACCTATCCTGTGATAATGATAATCATTTGAATTTGACATTTTAAACATTTTAATTCATTTACCCATTTTGAGTAGGGACAACCCGATGATCAGATCAAGGCAGTTAGTCTATGCAAAGAGACAGGTCATGTACACTGCACAGTCTACACAAACACAAGCTTTCTGGGTTACCATTTTGCTTCAGTGTGGGAATTGACCCGTAACAATATATAAACTTTACATGCTTTTTCAGTACTCACCTGAAGGGGGAGGAAGTCACCCGGAAAATTCGTTACAAAAAATAGTAGGAGTCATCATCCATGAAAGGTGTCATGTATTCATGTTTTTCCAACTTAGACAAAAATAGACTTGGCGTGTGACAATACTAATGTACATTATTTTTCACAAATGGGCTTGGATGATCTCCATAAGACAGTTCTCCGGGAAGATGTTTGCTTTCTTAAAGAGGAATTAGATATGTCAAACTCATATCTGTTTGATAAACCTTATCAAAAATATCCCACTGGCGAGGACAAACAGGAAATAATAGAAAAGCAAGACACTCGTCGTCGTCAAAAAAAGGAAGTTGATATCTTACATGGAAAGAAAACCGTTAAAAGATTTTAACATTTCATGTCAGCAGTTCCACAACTTGCAAAGCAACGTTTAGAAAAACTGCTTCAAAAAGGTAAACAAGCATGGAAATAATTTTGTGGCCATAAAGTTATGAAACAAAACAGGACTTTTTGTCTGCTGTGAATACCTGATCTGTCACTTTATTTATTTCAGAAAAACAGCGGTTGCTTGATCATACAGATATGGAAACTTCGGAAGAAAATGAATCAAGGGATGAAGATGAATCAATGGTTGAAGATGAAGCAAAGGATGAACATGAAGCAAGGAATGAAGATGAATCAATGGTTGAAGATGAAGCAAAGGATGAACATGAAGCAAGGAATGAAGATGAATCAAGGGAGGAAGATGAAGCAAGGGAGGAAGATGAAGCAAGGGAGGAAGATGAAGCAAGGGAGGAAGATGAAGCAAGGTATGAAGATGAATCAAGGGAGGAAGATGAAGCAAGGGAGGAAGATGAAGCAAGGGAGGAAGATGAAGCAAGGGAGGAACATGAAGCAAGGGAGGAAGATGAAGCAAGGTATGAAGATGAAGCAAGGGAGGAAGATGAAGCAAGGTATGAAGATGAAGCAAGGGAGGAAGATGAAGCAAGGGAGGAAGATGAAGCAAGGGAGGAAGATGAATCAATGGGTGAAGATGAAGCAAAGGAGGAAGATGAAGCAAGGTATGAAGATGAAGCAAGAGAGGAAGATGAAGCAAGGGAGGAAGATGAAGCAAGGGAGGAAGATGAATCAAGGGAGGAAGATGAATCAATGGGTGAAGATGAAGCAAGGTATGAAGATGAAGCAAGGTATGAAGATGAAGCAAGGGAGGAAGATGAAGCAAGGGAGGAACATGAAGCAAGGGAGGAACATGAAGCAAGGTATGAAGATGAAGCAAGGTATGAAGATGAATCAAGGGAGGAAGATGAAGCAAGGGAGGAACATGAAGCAAGGGATGAAGATGAATCAAGGGAGGAAGATGAATCAATGGGTGAAGATGAAGCAAGGTATGAAGATGAAGCAAGGGATGAAGATGAAGCAAGGTATGAAGATGAAGCAAGGGAGGAAGATGAAGCAAGGTATGAAGATGAAGCAAGGTATGAAGATGAAGCAAGGGAGGAAGATGAAGCAAGGTATGAAGATGAAGCAAGGTATGAAGATGAAGCAAGGGAGGAAGATGAAGCAAGGAAGGAAGATGAAGCAAGGTATGAAGATGAAGCAAGGTATGAAGATGAAGCAAGGTATGAAGATGAAGCAAGGGAGGAAGATGAAGCAAGGGAGGAAAATGAAGCAAGGGAGGAAGAGGAATCAATGGGTGAAGATGAAGCAAGGTATGAAGATGAAGCAAGGTATGAAGATGAAGCAAGGTATGAAGATGAAGCAAGGTATGAAGATGAAGCAAGGGAGGAAGATGAAGCAAGGTATGAAGATGAAGCAAGGGAGGAAAATGAAGCAAGGTATGAAGATGAAGCAAGGTATGAAGATGAAGCAAGGGAGGAAGATGAAGCAAGGGAGGAAGATGAAGCAAGGTATGAAGATGAAGCAAGGTATGAAGATGAAGCAAGGGAGGAAAATGAAGCAAGGGAGGAAGAGGAATCAATGGGTGAAGATGAAGCAAGGTATGAAGATGAAGCAAGGGAGGAAGATGAAGCAAGGTATGAAGATGAAGCAAGGTATGAAGATGAAGCAAGGGAGGAAGATGAAGCAAGGTATGAAGATGAAGAAAGGGATGAAGATAAAGCAAGGTATGAAGATGAAGCAAGGTAAGAAAATGAAGCAAGGGAGGAAGATGAAGCAAGGGAGGAAGATGAAGCAAGGGAGGAAGATGAAGCAAGGTATGAAGATTAATCAATGGGTGAAGATGAAGCAAGGTATGAAGATGAAGCAAGGGAGGAAAATGAAGCAAGGGAGGAAGAGGAATCAATGGGTGAAGATGAAGCAAGGTATGAAGATGAAGCAAGGGAGGAAGATGAAGCAAGGTATGAAGATGAAGCAAGGTATGAAGATGAAGCAAGGGAGGAAGATGAAGCAAGGTATGAAGATGAAGAAAGGGATGAAGATAAAGCAAGGTATGAAGATGAAGCAAGGTAAGAAAATGAAGCAAGGGAGGAAGATGAAGCAAGGGAGGAAGATGAAGCAAGGTATGAAGATGAAGCAAGGTATGAAGATGAAGCAAGGGATGAAGATGAAGCAAGGTATGAAGATGAAGCAAGGGATGAAGATGAAGCAAGGGAGGAAGATGAAGCAAGGTATGAAGATGAATCAAGGGAGGAAGATGAAGCAAGGTATGAAGATGAATCAAGGGAGGAAGATGAAGCAAGGTATGAAGATGAAGCAAGGTATGAAGATGAAGCAAGGTATGAAGATGAAGCAAGGTATGAAGATGAATCAAGGGAGGAAGATGAAGCAAGGGAGGAAGATGAAGCAAGGTATGAAGATGAAGCAAGGGAGGAAGATGAAGCAAGGTATGAAGATGAAGCAAGGGAGGAAGATGAAGCAAGGGATGAAGATGAAGCAAGGGAGGAAGATGAATCAAGGGAGGAAGATGAATCAAGGGAGGAAGATGAATCAAGGGATGAAGATGAATCAAGGGAGGAAGATGAATCAAGGGATGAAGATGAATCAAGGGAGGAAGATGAATCAATGGAGGAAGATGAAGCAAGGGAGGAAGATGAAGCAAGGGATGAAGATGAATCAAGGGATGAAGATGAAGGAAGGGATGAAGATGAATCAAGGGATGAAGATGAATCAAGGGAAGAAGATGAATCAATGGAGGAAGATGAATCAATCGGTGAAAATGAAGCAAGGGAGGAAGATGAAACATGGTATGAAGATGAAGCAAGGGATGAAGATGAATCAAGGGAGGAAGATGAATCAAGGGAGGAAGATGAATCAATCGGTGAAGATGAATCAAGGGATGAAGATGAAGCAAGGGAGGAAGATGAATCAATCGGTGAAGATGAAGCAAGGGAGGAAGATGAAGGTTCTGATGGTGACAGTACCAGCGAGACTGAGGAGGAAGAGGAAGCTTGTTGCAGTAGAAAGGCTGGTTTTCGTTTGAAAATAGACGTGTCATTGTTTTAAACTGTATTAACGTCAACGCCAACTTTGTAAAGACAATTTGTTTCCTGCTGTATATCCAATCAACAGAATGTAGACATGCTGCTAGTACGCATTAGTGTTCATTCATTATTTATCAATCATGTCAGCTGTATGAGTGAGTGAATGTTATTCAATACCACAGTCATTAATATGAAAGTGTATGATTTGACAGACTGTGTTTCATCCTAACCCCACAGTGTGGTGAACTGATTATTTAGTCCACCACTGGACTGCCCTTTAAATATTTGATTCTTTACAGGCCGCCTCCTATATCCACTCCCTCGCTACCCATACATAAATGTGAGATGAGATTAAGTTGGGGTTACCGTCACAATCAAGATTATTGCACTAATATAGCGTATGTGCGCGTTTGTAGTAATTTGTACTAGTTCTAACTTATGCAGGTGTTATAATCCTACCCTGCTGAGATATTATACTAAAGTTTAACATGATACCACACTAACTATACACTACTTACACTATAGTGACTACATGCCGACCAGTCTGCGGAGGTGGGATAAAATATGAATGACTACAAAAAGTAAGATTAACGGTGTATTGGGTAAATTACAACATATTATTTTCTTACCTTCCAGCTGGTGCCAAATCAAAGTTTTATTTTGGACTCAACGGAAAGACGTGTAGACGTGCATGTAATGGTGATTGGGGAACCGGAAAGGAAGACCTCCACTAAGATGAAAGCCGTTGTCGCTGATAAAACGTCTGCGGTGAACCTTTGGATTTACGATGACAGTCTTTTCAAACATTTTAGTGATCAGGCCAGTGTTATTCTGCGAAATGTTAGATGGAATGGAAGTATTTTGGAATTTTCGGGATTCAAGATCCCAGAGCACATTATTACAGAAGCTTTAGGAACAGGACAACCTATTTCCATCAAGAGAGCAAATGCATTACCTGACCTGAGCTTGATGTGCTTGAAAGGGAAAGTTGTGAAGGTTCGTTCATCACCTAATATGCCTCACTGAAATACTGAGTGTTGTAACCCACGAATAAAGAGAGCTCTCCTATCGTGATGTTAAAGTACCCATGCACTGGTTAATGATCGGATTTAGTACTTATAGCTATGCCTAAGAACATATATGTTTCAGTGTTGTCACAGCAGACATTAGAAATATTTGTTCGCTTTGTGGTTTATTGATGTAAAGACAGTGAAAGTAATTTGAGCGTATGAGGAGTCACGATCTTACCAACTCACATGCGTTTTTGCCATGTCTTATATTTGTTTCCTTTTTATTTCAAATACAGAAATCCTTTCTTCTGATCCGACCGTTTAAAAAGAAAATATTGAATTATTGTCAAATTAAGCTGAGAGATGACAAAGGATTCGTCGATGTTGATGTCTGGGGAGACGCTGCGGAAGCCATGGAAAGGGGAATTGTTATCAAAATGACAAGCTGTAGAAAGCGGGAACCCCAGAGACCAGACGGACCACCTATCTCCACAACACCAGACACATTGGTTAAGGTAATAAGTGATTTTTAGAAATATAAATAATTCTGCAACGTCAGAACTAAATAGTAACGACTGTGCTTTCTGCATTGCTCTCCCTCTTCCCTTGGCACATCAGAGCGTTGTTCATGTGTATCATCAAATCTAAAGACATTCATACACCTTATTCCACTGATATTTAAAAACTATGCTCATCAGAATCGAACCAAAATTATGTTGGTAAATTCATATTCCATTGCCTCGTTTTATTCATTTGAGGGGGCTGTTACGACGTAAATTGTAATAAAAAGGTAAATTGTAATACTTGCAGAAAATTGTAATAATTTTGACGTAAATTGTAATAACAACGTAAATTGTAATAAAATTTGACGTAAATTGTAATACGCAAATTGTAATAAAAATTGACGTAAATTGTAATAATCTCAACTTGCGGTAAAATGTAATAACCTTTTACGTAAATTGTAATAACCTTATAAGTTTAGTGTCAAAGGCGTTAAATGACTAGAACCTATCCTTGTCAGGGTTGGTACAGGGTTTATCATACAATTGTCATTGAAGTATGTGTGTGGGGGAGGATTGAGGTCGTTATCGTACATTGTTGTATAATTATATGTATATATAAATGCATTGGAATTTCATTTCTATGGTTGTCCAGAAGAGGATTAATTACTAGAATGAACTTAGTTTTCTTATTTATTTGAGAAATACTCTGTGTGTTTTGTATTATATTTTGACGAAGAATTCAAATACAACATATGAGTGACAGATCTGTGCAATGTCAAATGAAAAAAAACGGTCGTCAGCAAATGCAGCATAGATTTCCCATGCATGGGAAAGAAGAATACTTAATACATAACATTATATACAATGTTTTTATTAATATCAAAAGAGGGGCGTAGATATTCTTTACCTACATTGCATATACTATTAGATATTGCGTATTCTCGATCTCTGTGAACTTCTCACAGATAAAGAAATAATAATAAATAAATGCATACAAACATAGGTATGCATGTGTGTGTTTATGCATGTGTGTGTGTGTGTGTGTGTGTGTGTGTGTGTGTGTGTGTATACGATCTCTATATGTCATTGGTATCAGATCTATGACTGCACTTCTACATATAGTTCCAAGTGAAAGATAAGTGACATTACTTTGTGAGAGGTCCCACAAAAATGCTGATATGAGCAATTAAAGGTTATACAAAATGTAACAAATGAACAAAGTAAGATATTTTAAAATAGAAAATAGAAACACAAACCTGTAGATATACGAATTAGAATGTAGCAAATACATTAGATAAACGTATCTTCTACGTAGATAAAAGTATGTCCAACGAAGACATAAGTATATTCTTCGTAGATAATACGTTTTTCATTTTTTATCACTAATTTGAGACGGACAATAAATCCCCTGATTAAAGTAATTCCAACAAACAACAAGCACTGTAATGAAATTACAACATACTTTGTTAAAATTCTGATGAAAAGACTAGTAACTATCTAAGAAACCAAATCATACTGTTGCTGCGATACTTGGGCTCATCAGCATAGACACACAAACACAAACATACACACACACACACGCACGCGCATACACACACATACATACATTCACACATACACACGCACGCACACACACACACGCACACACACACACACACCGAGATACAGACACAAACACGTGTTGCACACACTACATACCCATACAAAAACACCCCCGCACAAACACTATATGTATGTATGTATGTATGTATGTATGTATGTATGTATGTATGTATGTATGTATGTGCGCGCATGTAGGTGTGTATGTAATGACAGTAATTATATATATATATATATATATAAATGTGAACTCTATGTCATTGGTATCACATATATGACTGCACTTCTACATACTCTAGATGACAGTATCATGTACGTAGATGAAAGTATGTAAGTGGACTATAGTATCTAGATGGCATACTATCATCTACGTAGAAGATACTATCATATACGTAGATGAAAGTATCTTCTACGTAGATGAAAGTATTTTCTACGTAGATGATAGTATTTTCTACGCAGATGGTAGTATCTTCTACGTAGATGATAGCATGCCACAAACATCACATCACTTCCAATAAATGTCTTTCACTATGTTGACACCACCCTTTAATGACGATTGTACGATAAAGCCTATACCAACCATCCCTAACTTAACAGTTTTGTACGTTTGTCATCATACACAGTATTTCTCGAATTGTACATGTGAAACGCAAGCTCAACTGACAAAGATCATTTCTAGTCAATTGGCGTCTTGGACACTACGGTAGTACGGTTATTACAATGTACGTAAGAATTTATTACATTTTACCGCAAGTAGAGATTATTACAATTTACGTCAATTTTTATTACAATTTGCGTATTACAATTTACGTCAAATATTATTACAATTTACGTTGTTATTACAATTTACGTCAAAATTATTACAATTTGCTGCAAGTATTACAATTTACCTTTTTATTACAATTTACGTCATAACAGGGGCTCTTAGCTTTAAACAGTCGTTTGACAAGCACCATGCATAGAAATAAATATTCATATATTAAAGTCAATTCTCGTACGTTTTCAGAAACTGCCTTTATTAGAACTAAAACAAAATGATGTCGACAAATTGTACAGAAGAGGAACTATTCAGGCATTTGATGTTGACCTAGATTCAGACATCAAGCTCGATTCAGAACCGAACACGATGACACGAGTTGATATCGATATGCGTAGAAAAGGAGGAAAGCTGGACACAGTCATGGTCTTTTGCGCCCAGCTGATCCAACTGTTCGAGATATACAACATGACGATTCCATCAATCGATGATGGTGAAAATATCGTGAAGTTGTTGACGAAACTTCAAGGAAAGAAGATAAAATACAAAGCATGCGGAACTGTAGAAAAATTCAGACGCTGCTAGATACGACAGCAGAAGATAGTTGAGAGGTGCTTACAACCTATTATTTCGAGACTCATTGACATTTTGTTTTATACATTTTGCTTTAGAGTAATGCACTCGTTCTTGTACAACTGTTATCAAACGCTTTTCACATGTAGGGGGTCGTAAAATTCCTTACATGTCCTTAAAGTATCTTACAAGCCCAAAAATATCGTATTTTTACACTGATGTTCATCTTTAAAATTGCCTACGTAAAATCTCAATTTGTCAGCGCAAGCTTTTTTTTCTCTACACGTAAACAAGGTCTGTTTTGCCTCAAAACGCAGTGGTCCTACCATGACCTACCCCAACATAGAGCGTCGTTCATCACAAGACAAAAAGTAGTGCGTCGTTCATCACAAGACAAAAAGTAGTGCCAATGTTGTGGAAACAATCCCTGCTGAGCACTTGAAAACATTGTTTAGTATAAATATGTTGTTGTGTTTCCATTTGTGGATTGGGAACAAGTTACCACAACTTAGGCGATCAACAAATAAGTTAAACATACAACATGGAAGAAACACGTCTGGGCTGGGGACGGGTGTGCTGACCTCTGACATTGTGTATACTTATTACCGAGCCAGTCGCCCGTCTTCTTTTGAGGCTGCATATATGGCACGCAAAAATGATATATGCTATTCTCAAATATGTACATAGCTTTATCTCCGGGGCTAAGTCATAATTGGTATCCGCACTTGTTTAATGACTCCATCTCTTCTTCTCTCTCATAATATCTTCCACATGGAGTAATTTGGAAGCTTTTCTCTGCTGTTTCATAGTTCTCCATTTCTTCTTTCTGAGATATTGATCTCCAAGTAGGCAGATGACATCATTATCATATTTTACACATGAAACTCTGTGACTGTATCATTGACTGAACATTTGGCGATTAATAATTTCCATTTCAAACTCTTTTCTTTTGTTTTAACAATACCTCTACTTACATGTATATTTCATTTTTTTCATAATTAGGTCTTGTCACAAAGTTGGTGAACCTTGCATTATATAAATCTCATACAAAATAGCCTGTGATATTCCAGCTACATATATGATGGCAGTCTGTAAATAATCGAGACTGGACCAGAGACCCCAGTAATCAATTTCATGAGTATGGATCCTCGCAATTCTAGCCCGGATCGTCTAGTCTGGATATAGTTAAACATGAAGGCACAGCCTCCCAACCCAGGCACGATCAAGCCGCTGGCGACCCCCTCCCTGTCAGAGACCCGTTGGCCCGTGAATTAGAAGCCAGTTATGAATATCACAAATGAAGGGAGATATCCGAGCATATGGGGAAACTTTTTTCATATGAACAGTACCTACTCGCAACGTGCTTTCAGGAGAGGCTCTTAATGATTTATGTCAAATGTTAACACAAGCATCAAACACCAAAATTATGTCAGGTGTTATACAAAGTATTTAGTTCTCTTTCAAGAGTATCCTGGTATATGTATTGTCACCGCCTGCTTGGAGATCCTGTGAATCTGTGGAGTGAGTATGTGAATGAGTTGGGTTTTGAAAGCCGCTTTTAACATTTCAGTTACATCACGTTGTGTAGGCTTAATGTGTGAGGAGAGCCCGAGCAGACGAACAGACGGCGAACTAAGGGACGTAACTCCAATTTCGTACCACCTGGGCTGATATCGATCATCATAACAGCCCAGCAGACGAGTGTAATACGGATTTGGTTATTACACCTCCTGGATATGTTGACATATGTTCTCTGTTGGCTCCATCGGACATGCAATTGAAATGCCTCTTGCCATAGACAGGTATATGATAAATAAAGTGATTCTTGCCGATGGCAAAGTAAAGTGTATCGTTTCAATATGTATATGCGTTTTTTTTATTGCAAAATAGGTAATCTTTTGTTTTTCGCGTGAAGTTAATTTAAAATTATCCCCTACGTTTGGTTAAGTATATGGTTAGTGAGGATACAAGAAGAGCATTAATATGTCCCAAATCATTATCATCTATAAACGCTTATAATTAGTTTCGCAAAATACATTTAAAGTATATTATTCTTTTTTTCGTTGTCCAATTTTAGAGGTGAATGGTGATACATTTGTGGATGTTTAATTTTCTTGTTCGTGTAAATAAAATGCTGCTGAAAAAACCCTCGCATGTTTGAGTATGAATCTGTCAAGCATGGAGGCGAGACAAAAGGCGTCACGCATAATTCATCAGACAACAGATATATTACATAACTTGAATATTAATCTATCAAGGATGGAGACGCGATATAAAGCAGACAACAGTTATATCATTATATATATTTGCATATGAATATGTCTGAGATGGTGAGGAGAGGAGAGGCAGGCGCTACGCAACATTTATTAGACGTTTTGAATATGATAGTTTTCTTAACGTAGCCGTTAAGCAAGTGGTTGTTTTGCAAAATAAATGTAAAGTATATCTTTCACATTTTCCAATTATTAGAGTTGATGGTGTTGTATGCTTTTAAAGTCCTTTTTATCCATTTTTCTTATTCATATGTATAAAGATGCTGCTGGAAAACTACTTGCAGAAAACCCACTTGAGTGAGAATATGTCAAGGATCAAAGGCACCATGTTACAGACATATTAATATTATGGATATTTGAATATTAATCTGTAAAGAATCGACGCCAGATTGAAAGCGCTATGCATCCTTTTTCAGACAACAAATGTCTTACTACTAATATTTGAGTTTAAATCTATCAGATATGGTTGAGAGATCAGAGATCAAAAGCGCAAGGCATGATTTATTTGACAACAGATATATGTGTATATATTTGAAAATGATGGTTCAGTATCACCGTAGGCTGTAGCCAGCTGATCAAAGCTGTGGGGAAGGTATGAAACAGAGAGATTAAATATTCCACAGGAATTGGTTCCTCGTGGATGCTTCTGTTGACTATAAAGAGACCGTCCTTGTTGATATGAACACCAACAAGTACCCTTTGCAGGACTTGAGGGACATAAGAGTGAGTGAGTGAGTTTTACGCCGCTTTTAGCAATATTCCAGCAATATCACGGCGGGGGACACAAGAAATGGGCTTCACACATTGTACCCATGTCGGGATTCGAACCCGGGTCTTCGGCGTTACGAGCGAACGCTTTAAGCACCAGGCTACCCGACCACCTTAGGGAGGGACATAAGAGGCGTCTTTATCGATCAATGTGTGACTACACTAATGATCTATCAGGTGCTGAGACAAGTACTTGAAAATGTTTCTGAATACATTTTATTCATAATTTCCATTTGTGTGTTATTTACCTCAGACAGGTAACGTGCAACATGTTTACCTCAAACAGGTAACGTCAACACGTTTACATAAGACAGTGAACGGGCAACAAGAATTTACCTCATACAAACAGTGGGCAACATCTCAGACAGAACGTGAAACATATATACCTCGGAAAGAGAAGGTGAAACATGTTTACCTCCGACAGGAAACGTGCAACACATTTACCTAAGACTACCGCAGAGAAGGGAACGTTAAAAATATCTCCTACCAGACGCTCATTGCACAGCCAAGAGGGTCTTTTGTACTTAAGTAAGAAAGGATTGATTACATCACACAAAAACGATACAGACTGAGATTGGTTGATGAATTCAATATTGTATAAATTAGGAATATATAACAAGAAACATCTGATCATGATGTAATAATATGGCGAAAAGGGACGGGAGATACCAGGGCAGAACAGATTCCCAATACCCAATGATTGTGTGCCCGTGGAGACACCACGGCCCACTTGCACAAAGCGATCTTAGTGCTCCTAACTCCTATACATTAACAAAGGCTTCAGATAGTCTTAGCGCTAAGATCGTTTTGTGCAAGTGGGCCCAGGCAGAAACTTGCTACATAGATCAATCTAGTGTTGAACTTGTGCCTTTTGATAATTTGTGATTTTGAAAAGCTCTTGTTCTGCTTGCTGTCATATTACAGAAAAAGTGTAGGGAAAACCTCCCACCCGTCATCTACATACATATTTGCTACTGGTTGTTGTGAAAACAACAGCAAACCATTGCAGGAGAAATATGTCCTTTATTCACAACAGACAGTCATAAAAAAACAATTTTACTTCCTGATTGAGAATAATGATAACAAGTTCTGTTTAATAGAGACAAGTTCAGCTGTTTAATGACAATAATGTCAGGAAGTTGTGTTCTGATTAATGATGACAAATTTGTGCTGGTTAATGACAAGTCTCCTGCACACAATTAGCATGAACGGCTGCACTGGAGACCTTACAAAGTACCTGTTGATTGGAAGGTATGGGAAAATATGGTAAATAGATGTGTTGACTATTCGCAGAGATCCATTTTGTGGAAAGTGGCCTCAATGCATGATGGGGACATTTTGGGACAAACGATTTGGTTGAGCATTCTGAACACCACCCTTTTTGAAAAACACAAAAGAATTCTTTGATTGTATTGTATTGTTTTTTGTTTAACGCCGTACTCAGCAATATTCCAGCTATATGACGGCGGTCTGTAAATAATCTAGTCTGGACCAGACAGTCCAGTGATTGACATGAGCATCGATCCACGCAATCAACCATGTCAGCGAGCCTGACCACCCGATCCCATAGTCACCTTTTTCGGCAAGCATGGTTTGCTGAAGACCTATTCTACCCCGGATCTTCACGGGTCGAATTCATTTGAAGATTTGAAGGAAAATGGGTACACTTGAGTAAATATGTATCAACACTGAATGTATGCCTCTGGTAATGTTTTAACATAAGTTCTATGACTATAAACACAATTTTATTCCTGAAATAAATGCCCTTCATCTAGTATAGGTCAACTGTTGACCATGCACTCACCCCTTCACTGTAGTAACCCCTGCCAGAACAGTCACTGACACTCCATGGGTCAAAGTTCTCGGCACCTCGTCTTTGTGCGTACAAATATATGCCAGAAAAACAAGGCTTTATTGAATGACAGTCTCGTCCATGTTACAGTATAGGAGCAACAACAGGGAGGTGAACTGTAACCCATTCATATTGTACCCTGCAGGACTTCTGGGTTGCGTGCACTCTGTGTGATCTATGAAATACTTTGTTCAGTGCACAGAGCACTAAAAGACAGATATCTGTGTAAATATATAGATTTAGAAAACTGGTTACCATGGATACAGATAATCTGGAAAATGTGTAAAGTGGAAAGCAACAATTCACACACATCTGTTTGTATATATGTGATTGAAGCTAACCATACAATTATGGCACAACTTCTCTTCCATAGAATCAAAGCTCTTCCTTCCAAGATGGCTGCTAAGAGTTCTTCTGTGGGATTTTGATGGTCACCTGAGGAAACAAACCAACTGAAGTTAGACCTTTGCTTTTTATACTCCTTGGCTCATAATCTTTTAATCAAAATCATGTTTGGTGGCTGAATTTGATATTCCAATAAATTGGTTATTATTAAAATTAATTGCTTAAAACATTTGTCCAGGTAGCAAGATAAAAATAGATATGAAGATGCTACTTTGAGCATGTTGAGTGTTTGTTGTTCAATGCAACATGCTGCAATATTCGAACTGAATGACTTGGCCTGTGTATAATCAAGTCTGAATAGACAAGCCAGTGGTTGATATTGTGAGCAAGGATCTATTTCGTCTCGGAGCGATGACACTCAATCAAAAAGCTGATCCATGACATCGCTTCGTATGCCAAGCATAGGTTGCCCAGAATCCCCACGGGACTTGGAGTGAGTGCATCATGCTTTACGCTGAGTCAGCGATATTCCATCACAGTGACCTGTACTTGATCGCCTCTGAGCCAGAAAAGCAGTGATATATGTTTGCAATCATCACACTGACTTACTGTTTTGGTCTCTGTGTATTGCTTTAGGGCCTCCTCACCCCTGAAAATTGAAAACCACAAACATCAATACAGTTTCAGCTTCAAGTCTAATGTAACCTCATGCAATGTTGGAGGAGGGAGACTGTATACTGCCTACATACAATGGGAAGTAAAACATACAGACTCCATGCCATGTAAAGTTACTGTGTCTTACAACGTTTAGTCTGTCACAACAATTTCTCACCCTCCCGAGGCAAGTGAGTTAGCTGACTATAAAAGTCTAGTTTCCAGCCTTGCCGAAGGAACTAGGCTGCAATGTTGTGGCCTGACTTTAGCGCAACCAGTTGCCATTAAGTCCCTCCTATTGACCAACCACTTTCCACCTATCATACTGCTTGCAGTTTCAGCATCAAGTCTAAAATGATTCCATCCAATCCCGGAGGAGGAAGAGGTAAACTGCACACAGTGGGAGGTATAAACTTGGAGACTCCACTCTAGATAAAGTCACTGTGTATTTGACCATGAAACTTTTAGTCTATCACAACTTCTTGGCAGTATCACTCCATATTCGTGATTGATAAAAACGTAAAAGATTATCTAGACACAACAATGTGATTTGAGCAATGAACAACATACCTGCAGACATTCCTGGTTTACATGTCTGGGACCCGGACTTAAACACATAGATTTACGTTGTGTGATCGTATGTTTGACTTGTCAATAGATAGATTGAATGTTGAAATAATATTCAAGCTATATCATGGCAGCCTGTAAATAATTACGCCTTTGTTTGGCGAAGGAGGGTTGACTGCATGAATAATGAACCACACCATCTCAAACAATGACACAATAATCAGAGTCACATTTGTTGGTTCACTTGGCAACCATTGTACGTGCCTTTCTTCCCACTCTTAAACCCTTAGATGAAACACATCCCTCCACCTCCCTCCATCAAGAGAAATAATACAAATCTGTAACCAAGATATTACTGATAACAGTCCACTGTGTTGTCAACTTACAGTTCTCTCCCTTGCCCAGACATCTTGAAGCCTCCAAATGGTGTCTGACAGGTGACGATGTCATAGCAGTTCACCCTTCAAAACAGATGAAAATAGAAATGGTGAAAGCTTGATTTCTTTACAAACACAAGAAAATGATACTATTTTTTCATTTATTTTAACATTGCAAAACTTGATCCTCAGATATTCACCAGTTGACCTCCAAGACATCACAAAACCTAACAAATTCAATATGAATATAATAATTAACAAGTGCATAAGTGAGCGTGGCTCGCTAATGCCCCCAACCCGCCTAGTGTGTCAGTAGTTACAAATTAAATAGCTAGGATAGGGTTAGGGCAACTTAGGGTTTGAAAAGTTCATTAAAAAAATGGAAAATTAATAAAAACAATTTTTTCTTTTGACTGCACCCCTTCATATGACACAGATTATATGTAGTAAGTTTTAGATGAATCCACTGAATAGTTTAAGATAAATTGTACGGACAAATTTTGCAGACGGACGTTAGGGTTTGAAAAATTCATAAAAAAATGGAAAATTAATAACAAGAATTTTTTTCTTTTGACGGCACCCCTCCATATGACAAAATTATATGTACTAAGTTTGAGATGAATCCCCAGAATAGTTTAAGGGAAATCGCAAGGACAAAGTTTTCGGACGGATGGACGGAATCTTGGTATAACTTTATACCCCCGACATTTTGTCGGGGATATAAAAATATTACAAACATAATTTTGATCTATCTAAAATGTTAATGGATAGAGAGATTGGAATGCAGTATTTTGTTCAATTGCTGTTATATAGAGAAATGTCTGGTAGATCCTTTACTTCATCCAGCATCAAGGCGACATCAGTTGTCTTGTGAATAAAACGTCTGTATGGTGAGCATATCAAAGACATGTCACACCAAGAAGATGTTAAAAGATGGTACATGTACCCTACGTAGAGCTCAGCATTAAGGACATATAACATGAACTGGTTGTCTCGGAGTCAGTATAGAGTGCTTGTGCCGTGTAGCTGATGTTAGAACTGCCACATTTCAGTGGGATATTACTATGAAACCAGCATTAGTATGGACTAGAACAAGCAGTGAGTGAGTGAGTTGGGATTACGCCGCTTTTAAGTGTATTCCAGTTTATGTCAGCTTAATGTGGGAGGGAAGCCCGAAGTGATGCAGTTCTCAGGCGTTTACCACTTCGGAGAAAGCCACGAGCACGGGTATGGTGCTGACAAACCTAGAAACATAATCGGGGTGAACCGGGATTCGAACCAAAGATAGGTTTCTGGCGTGCACCCCTGCACAGCGATTTGCGGCACCTTAGACGACTGGGCCACCCGTGCTCCCCCAGAACAAGTAGCAACACACATACATTCATGCACGTTGCCATATAACCACAGCCATCCTGAATGTGACATCAAACCCTGTTTCACCTCACCTCATCCAGTGCCATAGACAGCAGTTTCACATGCACGCTTCTTTAGAACATACTGATCTTTGTCAACAACTTCCAGACAATGACATGTGACATTAATTCATAACAAATATGACTTTTGACTGATATCTAAAAGTCATCACAAGTGTCCAAACAAGCATCTCAAATAGCTGAGGGTTAAGATTTGAATGGTTTCCATGACAACACCTACTCACCATACACTGCCAGCCTGGAGCTTCTGTGACAACACGAGCGCCTTGTTGATGTCGTTTGTGATGACGCCTGCCGCCAGACCGTACTTGGTGGCGTTGGCTCTCTCCAGAACCTCCTCCACGTCACGGAACTTGATGATAGACTGCACAGGCCCGAATATCTGCAACAGAATTAGATTACAATTAGATTACAATTAGATTACAATTAGAGTGTGAGGAAGTGGCCTCAGCGTAACACCAAATCTAGCTGTGTTTCAGTCGTACCTCTTTGTGTCAGCTTAATGTGGGAAAAAGTGATGTGTTAAGATGTTTTTACTATAACCTACAAGTATAGGTTTGGTACTGACAAACCAATGACGATATTTTTGGAAAATGTGGCATTCAAACCCATGATCACAAGGTCCTGGCATGTCAAAGGGACACAACTACGCTCAGAGACTTGCAGCACTTTCGGATACTTGGTCATCCATGCCCCCAACTGTGTGAGGTGGGTGAGTGAGTGAGTGAATGTTGTTTTACATCTTAGCAATATTCAAGCCTGTGAATAATCCTGTGTCATAATCCACAAACAGCACTCAGCAGGGCACACCTCCCTATGAATCCTGATACAGGCATGTACGCCACCTCTCTCTTACAACCTACCTCCTCCCTGGCAATCCTCATGTTGTTCGTCACATCCGAGAACACTGTGGGCTTGATGAAGTAGCCCTTGTCGCCCCACCTCTCTCCTACAACCTACCTCCTCCGTGGCAATCCTCATGTTGTCCGTCACATCGGAGAACACTGTGGGCTTGATGAAGTAGCCCTTGTCGCCCCACCTCTCTCCCCCGTACTGCAACTTGGCTCCCTCATCCTTGCCACTCTTTATCATGTCCAGGATCTTCTTGAACTGGGCATCATCAACCTACAGCAAACAGAAGTCAGGATTGACCACAGACTCAATACAACTTGCGTATAAGTCAGCTCCAACAACAGGGTGGAGGACTTGCAGCCTATGTTCTGAGTCAGACAAAATACTAGAGGAGTTTCCATGGATGATGCTGACAAACCAAGGACCATGATCAGTCAGGATCTTGGAGTCTCACCAATGATCAGCAAATTCTGGCATCACTAAGAGACACAACTCTGAACCATGAATTTCATAGATAAATAGGCCAATAGCGCCAGCACCCTACAGTCGTGTTCTGGTTCAGCCCCTCCCAAACACTCCTGTCACTCCCAACACCAAACCCACATCTTCATCACATCAGAACACAGCCTATGGCTCTGATCCAGAGGACGTTTATTATTTGGGCCACATGTACCCCGATAATGTTCTCCAATCCATACACTTCATACAACGGTGCCACTTGAGTCGCATGCACCTCAGTACTTGCAAAGGTCATGAGTTTTAGTGGAATCTGGATCAAAATTGTTGCTAGACAGGAATTTCGAATGTTCTCAGTCACATAGAGGACATGTGATAGTATTTTATTATGATTAACAGGAACAGTTGGTTGTCGTTTGTTCACTCCCAACTGTACCTTCATATCAAATAGTACTGCTACTCATCCTCTATCACTTAAACTTTGTGGCATCTTTAGGGTTACATGTGTCTGCCATAAATATTCGTTTTACTTTCAGTAACACCCATGGCATATTCCTAATGTTTGACCAACTCCTTTATTATGTTGATACACATTCAGGAGTAGACTACTTGTCAGGGGCTACTTTTTACTTTTTTAAGTGGTGTTTGTGAAATATACTAGCTTTTGGTAGAATACACTATAGTCTCTGACTAACAGGCTAGTGGCCATGTCTAGCCCGGACATCTGTAGTAAGCAGACAACAATATCACTGAAATTGAATGATGTCATATACACCAGACTTTGACCACAAAGAGTTATTACCTGAGGCCCCTGCTGCGTCATGACATCGTACGGATCTCCGACAACTCGGTTCTCCGCCATGGTCTTCGCAACCTCCACAAACTTGTCGTAGATCCCTTCCTGCACAAACGTCCTTGACCCTGCACAGCAGTTCTGGCCGTGGTTGGTCATGATGGCTGCGTGGGCCCACATGGCCGCATCCTCAACTGTAAAAATACACACAATAAGAATTGAAATTCAATATTTCTTTCAACTTCTGGAGTAGAAACTGGTGTGCATTAATATCTGTAGCAAAAATGCAAAAATACTTAAGTCAATTCCTATAACATAAAAATGCCAACAAAAAGAACTTCACAGAATGCTTGTTTCGTCATTTACATCAAACAACTGAGGACAACAACAGGGAATGAGTGACATCATACAGCGTAATAATGCAACCCAAACTACCAATCAGGGAACAAGCAAGCCGTTAGTGGGTGTGGTCAGTTTCTTGGAGGTTTATTGAAACATATAAATGCAAACTATCGTTGCTTGGTTAACCAATCAAATGTCACAGATTCACTTCCAATTTATTTACATAAAAATCAAACACATTTTTACTGAAAACTGTGGTTGTGATGTTAAGCAAAGTAGGTCCCGGTGAGTAGGTGGATGGGTGACCTTGTTCGGGGCCAAATGAGGGATTCTAGTCCTGCCCCACACTGAAGCACATAATAGTACACGTGGAGTCTCCCGGAGCAAGTGACTTCACTCGAAATGTGCCTCTACTCACCCAGGATGAGTGGTGATGTGACTGTTAACCTTCTAACGTATCACAGGCAGCTTGGGTTGAATACTCCTCAGTGAGCAGAGAACGAAAACTCATCACAAACTGATCTAGTGACCGGTTTAAATAGTTTAGCGATTTGTGTGATGTAGCTCAATATATATATTATTATCATGCCAGGAAATCAGGATGCTCCAAGGGTCGTCACACTGAGAGACTCACCGTCAGCATCAGCCAGGATGATGAGGGGACTCTTCCCCCCAAGCTCCAGACTGACCCTCTTCAGGTTGCTCCTCCCCGCAGCCTGCATGATGAGGTGGCCGACCTAGGTGGGGAGCAGGCAGTCACACACAGGGTAATGTTTGGTCAACAAATATGTCAATAATCATGGATTATGACTGGGAAATAATTGTTATTTTATGATTATAATATTGAAGCATGTAAATATGGCGCACTGTTATTTGTAGCGGCTATTTTCTTTAAGAAAGAGTTGTCTCCCTTTCGTAGCTATCCTTGTGCAGAGAAGAGTTGCCTCCCTTTAGTAGCTTGTGCAGGGAAGACACGTACATGTTGTTGTCAGAATACATAGCAGTATCATAGGCAACATGCCTCAAAACCTAAATTTCAATTTGTCCGCTGTCTAAAATTCAGAGGTAGCCAAATGGCTACCTTGAAAAATATCTTGTGGCAACTAAAGTCTATTGCTACTCATATGTAGACACAAAAATAAACATGTCTGCTACTAATTGTAATGGCAAATAATTCCTCCGCAAATAATGAACCGAAATACATAAATATGAATGTAATTAGTATTTTATTTTAGTTGATAGTTGGATAAGCAAGGATATACCTATACAATCTAGCATCATTGTTCGAGTCACAAATAACTCAAGTACAGTTTATACTAATATACAATTCCAAGACTAGTGCTATGACTTGTACATATAATAATTATTTGATAAAAGACAATTTCAAATGCTTTTTGCTACCAACACTTCATAATTTTACCACTGGCTACCTGGAAAAAATACTTGCAGCCATATGGCTACTTGGTAAAAAATTAAACTTTGAGGACTGTAGTCAACCAAAGAAGAATCCAATCTCAGGTCGTCAAGTTACCATGACACCCAATCCCCCACAGTCTCCCCGTCCACACACATAGGATCCTGGGGAGCTGATTCAAACCCACTTCTCCACGGGGTGAGCCCTGCACAGTGTAACACCCTGCTTACTTCAGTGGATCCTGTGAAGGCCACCATGGGGTGAGCCCCGCACAGTGTAACACCCTGCTTACTTCAGTGGAGCCTGTGAAGGCCACCACGGGGTGAGCCCCGCACAGTGTGACACCCTGCTTACTTCAGTGGAGCCTGTGAAGGCCACCATGGGGTGAGCCCCGCACACTGTCACACCCTGCTTACTTCAGTGCAGCCTGTGAAGGCCACCACGGGGTGAGCCCCGCACAGTGTAACACCCTGCTTACTTCAGTGGAGCCTGTGAAGGCCACCACGGGGTGAGCCCCGCACAGTGTAACACCCTGCTTACTTCAGTGGAGCCTGTGAAGGCCACCACGGGGTGAGCCCCGCACAGTGTAACACCCTGCTTACTTCAGTGGAGCCTGTGAAGGACACCACGGGGTGAGCCCCGCACAGTGTAACACCCTGCTTACTTCAGTGGAGCCTGTGAAGGACACCACGGGGTGAGCCCCGCACAGTGTAACACCCTGCTTACTTCAGTGGAGCCTGTGAAGGCCACCACGGGGTGAGCCCCGCACAGTGTAACACCCTGCTTACTTCAGTGGAGCCTGTGAAGGCCACCACGGGGTGAGCCCCGCACAGTGTAACACCCTGCTTACTTCAGTGGAGCCTGTGAAGGCCACCACGGGGTGAGCCCTGCACAGTGTAACACCCTGCTTACTTCAGTGGAGCCAGTGAAGGCCAACTTGTTCACGGGGTGAGCCCTTCACAGTGTAACACCCTGCTTACTTCAGTGGAGCCTGTGAAGGCCACCATGGGGTGAGCCCCGCACAGTGTAACACCCTGCTTACTTCAGTGGAGCCTGTGAAGGCCACCATGGGTCGAGCCCTGCACAGTGTAACACCCTGCTTACTTTAGTGGAGCCTGTGAAGGCCACCACGGGGTGAGCCCTTCACAGTGTAACACCCTGCTTACTTCAGTGGAGCCTGTGAAGGCCACCATGGGGTGAGCCCCGCACAGTGTAACACCCTGCTTACTTCAGTGGAGCCTGTGAAGGCCACCATGGGTCGAGCCCTGCACAGTGTAACACCCTGCTTACTTTAGTGGAGCCTGTGAAGGCCACCACGGGGTGATCCCCGCACAGTGTAACACCCTGCTTACTTCAGTGGAGCCTGTGAAGGCCACCATGGGGTGAGCCCCGCACAGTGTAACACCCTGCTTACTTCAGTGGAGCCTGTGAAGGCCACCATGGGGTGAGCCCTGCACAGTGTAACACCCAGCTTACTTCAGTGGAGCCTGTGAAGGCCACCACGGGGTGAGCCCTGCACAGTGTAACACCCTGCTTACTTCAGTGGAGCCAGTGAAGGCCACCTTGTCCACGGGGTGAGCCCTGCACAGTGTAACACCCTGCTTACTTCAGTGGAGCCTGTGAAGGCCACCATGGGGTGAGCCCTGCACAGTATAACACCCTACTTACTTCAGTGGAGCCTGTGAAGGCCACCATGGGGTGAGCCCCGCACAGTGTAACACCCAGCTTACTTCAGTGGAGCCTGTGAAGGCCACCATGGGGTGAGCCCTGCACAGTATTACACCCTGCTTACTTCAGTGGAGCCTGTGAAGGCCACCATGGGTCGAGCCCTGCACAGTGTAACACCCAGCTTACTTCAGTGGAGCCTGTGAAGGCCACCATGGGGTGAGCCCTGCACAGTATAACACCCTGTTTACTTCAGTGGAGCCAGTGAAGGCCACCTTGTCCACGGGGTGAGCCCTGCACAGTGTAACACCCTGCTTACTTCAGTGGAGCCTGTGAAGGCCACCATGGGGTGAGCCCTGCACAGTATAACACCCTGCTTACTTCAGTGGAGCCCGTGAAGGCCACCTTGTCCACGGGGTGAGCCCTGCACAGTGTAACACCCTGCTTACTTCAGTGGAGCCTGTGAAGGCCACCATGGGGTGAGCCCCGCACAGTGTAACACCCAGCTTACTTCAGTGGAGCTAGTGAAGGCCACCTTGTCCACGGGGTGAGCCCCGCACAGTGTTACACCCTGCTTACTTCAGTGGAGCCTGTGAAGGCCACCACGGGGTGAGCCCCGCACAGTGTAACACCCTGCTTACTTCAGTGGAGCCTGTGAAGGCCACCACGGGGTGAGCCCTGCACAGTGTAACACCCTGCTTACTTCAGTGGAGCCAGTGAAGGCCAGCACGGGGTGAGCCCTGCACAGTGTAACACCCTGCTTACTTCAGTGGAGCCTGTGAAGGCCACCACGGGGTGAGCCGTGCACAGTGTAACACCCTGCTTACTTCAGTGGAGCCTGTGAAGGCCACCATGGGGTGAGCCCCGCACAGTGTAACACCCTGCTTCTTTCAGTGGAGCCTGTGGAGGCCACCACGGGGTGAGCCCTGCACAGTGTAACACCCTGCTTACTTCAGTGGAGCCTGTGAAGGCCACCTTGTCCACGGGGTGAGCCCCGCACAGTGTAACACCCTGCTTACTTCAGTGGAGCCTGTGAAGGCCCCGCACAGTGTAACACCCTGCTTACTTCAGTGGAGCCTGTGAAGGCCACCACGGGGTGAGCCCCGCACAGTGTAACACCCTGCTTACTTCAGTGCAGCCTGTGAAGGCCACCTTGTCCACGGGGTGAGCCCCGCACAGTGTTACACCCTGCTTACTTCAGTGGAGCCTGTGAAGGCCACCACGGGGTGAGCCCCGCACAGTGTAACACCCTGCTTACTTCAGTGCAGCCTGTGAAGGCCACCACGGGGTGAGCCCTGCACAGTGTAACACCCTGCTTACTTCAGTGGAGCCTGTGAAGGCCACCATGGGTCGAGCCCTGCACAGTGTAACACCCTGCTTACTTTAGTGGAGCCTGTGAAGGCCACCACGGGGTGATCCCCGCACAGTGTAACACCCTGCTTACTTCAGTGGAGCCTGTGAAGGCCACCATGGGGTGAGCCCCGCACAGTGTAACACCCTGCTTACTTCAGTGGAGCCTGTGAAGGCCACCATGGGGTGAGCCCTGCACAGTGTAACACCCAGCTTACTTCAGTGGAGCCTGTGAAGGCCACCACGGGGTGAGCCCTGCACAGTGTAACACCCTGCTTACTTCAGTGGAGCCAGTGAAGGCCACCTTGTCCACGGGGTGAGCCCTGCACAGTGTAACACCCTGCTTACTTCAGTGGAGCCTGTGAAGGCCACCATGGGGTGAGCCCTGCACAGTATAACACCCTACTTACTTCAGTGGAGCCTGTGAAGGCCACCATGGGGTGAGCCCCGCACAGTGTAACACCCAGCTTACTTCAGTGGAGCCTGTGAAGGCCACCATGGGGTGAGCCCTGCACAGTATTACACCCTGCTTACTTCAGTGGAGCCTGTGAAGGCCACCATGGGTCGAGCCCTGCACAGTGTAACACCCAGCTTACTTCAGTGGAGCCTGTGAAGGCCACCATGGGGTGAGCCCTGCACAGTATAACACCCTGTTTACTTCAGTGGAGCCAGTGAAGGCCACCTTGTCCACGGGGTGAGCCCTGCACAGTGTAACACCCTGCTTACTTCAGTGGAGCCTGTGAAGGCCACCATGGGGTGAGCCCTGCACAGTATAACACCCTGCTTACTTCAGTGGAGCCCGTGAAGGCCACCTTGTCCACGGGGTGAGCCCTGCACAGTGTAACACCCTGCTTACTTCAGTGGAGCCTGTGAAGGCCACCATGGGGTGAGCCCCGCACAGTGTAACACCCAGCTTACTTCAGTGGAGCTAGTGAAGGCCACCTTGTCCACGGGGTGAGCCCCGCACAGTGTTACACCCTGCTTACTTCAGTGGAGCCTGTGAAGGCCACCACGGGGTGAGCCCCGCACAGTGTAACACCCTGCTTACTTCAGTGGAGCCTGTGAAGGCCACCACGGGGTGAGCCCTGCACAGTGTAACACCCTGCTTACTTCAGTGGAGCCAGTGAAGGCCAGCACGGGGTGAGCCCTGCACAGTGTAACACCCTGCTTACTTCAGTGGAGCCTGTGAAGGCCACCACGGGGTGAGCCGTGCACAGTGTAACACCCTGCTTACTTCAGTGGAGCCTGTGAAGGCCACCATGGGGTGAGCCCCGCACAGTGTAACACCCTGCTTCTTTCAGTGGAGCCTGTGGAGGCCACCACGGGGTGAGCCCTGCACAGTGTAACACCCTGCTTACTTCAGTGGAGCCTGTGAAGGCCACCTTGTCCACGGGGTGAGCCCCGCACAGTGTAACACCCTGCTTACTTCAGTGGAGCCTGTGAAGGCCCCGCACAGTGTAACACCCTGCTTACTTCAGTGGAGCCTGTGAAGGCCACCACGGGGTGAGCCCCGCACAGTGTAACACCCTGCTTACTTCAGTGCAGCCTGTGAAGGCCACCTTGTCCACGGGGTGAGCCCCGCACAGTGTTACACCCTGCTTACTTCAGTGGAGCCTGTGAAGGCCACCACGGGGTGAGCCCCGCACAGTGTAACACCCTGCTTACTTCAGTGCAGCCTGTGAAGGCCACCACGGGGTGAGCCCTGCACAGTGTAACACCCTGCTTACTTCAGTGGAGCCTGTGAAGGCCACCACGGGGTGAGCCGTGCACAGTGTAACACCCTGCTTACTTCAGTGGAGCCTGTGAAGGCCACCATGGGGTGAGCCCCGCACAGTGTAACACCCTGCTTCTTTCAGTGGAGCCTGTGGAGGCCACCACGGGGTGAGCCCTGCACAGTGTAACACCCTGCTTACTTCAGTGGAGCCTGTGAAGGCCACCTTGTCCACGGGGTTAGCCCCGCACAGTGTAACACCCTGCTTACTTCAGTGGAGCCTGTGAAGGCCCCGCACAGTGTAACACCCTGCTTACTTCAGTGGAGCCTGTGAAGGCCACCTTGTCCACGTCCATGTGTTCAGCAATGGCGGCGCCGGCTGTGGGACCAAATCCAGGGACAATGTTGACCACCCCAGGGGGGAATCCAGCCTGCAACACAAGACTCACAGTCAGTTATCATCAAAGTTTGTATTTCTTAAACATGTATATGGGACAAAAGCACTAAATCATGTGCTAAACATTAGCACGTTTACATAAATTTTATCCATTGAAAATATATGGCTAAATCATCAGAAATTCCACAGTTTTAAAAAAATACAGAAATTGCTCAAATAAGGACAAAACTTCATGCTGTGAAACTGACAACTCAGTTGTTGAAGCCCTTTAAGGTACTGCTGATGTAACTGTAGTGTTATTGTCTAGAGGTGAAGAAGAGGTAGGGAGGCTTTGGGGAGGGGGATGTTGTTACTGTGGGGTTTGTCTGTGAGAGGGTCTGTGAGAGGGTCTGTGGGAGGGTCTGTGAGAGGGTCTGTGAGGGGGTCTGTAAGAGGGTCTGTGAGAGGGTCTGTGAGAGGTCTGTGAGGGGGTCTGTGAGGGGGTCTGTGAGGGGTTTCTGTGAGAGGGTCTGTGAGGGGTCTGTGAGGGGGTCTGTGAGAGGGTCTGTGAGAGGGTCTGTGAGGGGGTCTGTGAGAGGGTCTGTGAGAGGGTCTGTGACGGGGTCTGTGAGGGGGTCTGTGAGGGGGCCTGTGAGTGGGTCTGTGAGGGATCTGTCCTGGTTTCACCTACCTCCTTGATGAGTGCCCCTGCATACAGGGCAGTGATGGGGGGCTGATGGGGGTCTGTGAGGGGGTCTGTGAGGGGTCTGTGAGGAGGTCTGTGAGGGATGTCTGAGAGGGGGGTCTGTAAGGGGGATCTGTCCTGTTGGTTTCACCTGCCTCCTTGATAAGTGCCCCTGCATACAGGGCAGTGAGGGGGGTCTGTGAGGGGGTCTGTGAGGGGGTCCGTCCTGTTGGTTTCACCTGCCTCCTTGATAAGTGCCCCTGCATACAGGGCAGTGAGGGAGTCTGTGAGAGGGTCTGTGAGGGGGTCTGTGAGGGGGTCTGTGAGGGGTCTGTGAGGGGGTCCGTCCTGTTGGTTTCACCTGCCTCCTTGATAAGTGCCCCTGCATACAGGGCAGTGAGGGAGTCTGTGAGAGGGTCTGTGAGGGGGTCTGTGAGGGGGTCTGTGAGGGGGCCTGTGAGTGGGTCTGTGAGGGATCTGTCCTGGTTTCACCTACCTCCTTGATAAGTGCCCCTGCATACAGGGCAGTAATGGGGGTCTGCTCGGCAGGCTTCATCACGACGGTACAGCCACAGGCGAGTGCAGGAGCCCACTTCCAGGACACCATGGCCAGGGGGTAGTTCCACTGAAATAACCGTGTCATTATATCATCAATAACATAACTAAAACACATCTATATTTTACTATATGTATTGTAAATCATAAACCAATTCATTGATATTTTCAAAGACAAAAAGCACAAAAGATCACTGTGTGCTGTGGTATTTTCTAATAATCATGCATATTCTAGTCTAAAAATTCTAGAAGTCCAATCACTGTTATTGGCTGATATCTTTTCACATTATTCTTAATGGCATCAGGTTACATCTCCATATCAGGCAGCAAATGATGTATCACACTGGATGGAAAAACCTGTGAAGATCAGGTCTTCCGCAACCCATCCTTCCCGCAAACAGCAACTATGCTTGTCATAAGAAGTGACTAATGGGATAGGGTGGTCAGGCTCGCTGACTTCATTGATGCATGTCAGCGTATCCATATTGCGTAGATCGACACTCATGATGTCAGTCACTGGAATTTCTGGTCCAGACTCGATTATTTACAGACCGCCATCACAAAGCTGGAATATTGCTGAGTACGGATTTAACCAACCAAACAAACAAACAAACACTGCATGAAAGACAGATGATTTTTTAGAAAAAGACAATATTTTTGTGTAAACTAAGTATGCATAACTCACCGGGATGATCTGTCCACAGACACCAACAGGCTCACGCCGAGTGAATGTGAAGTAACTTCCATCTGCAGCATCAACACATCGGGTTACACACCCAAACACAACATGACACAAGATGAAGCAGCATCAACACATCGGGTTACACACCCAAACACAACATGACACAAGATGAAACTGTGAAAACAGTGGACTCAGGGACTAGGCAGAAACATTGCACATGTTGCACCAGGAAAACTGCTGATTAATCTGAGCATACGGACAGCAGACATGGCTTGTATCATTGAATCATTTTTTTAAACTGTGACTTCATCACAAAGCGGACATACATATGTACCCGTGACAGTGCTTACAAACCTGTAACATATTGATCATGGCTATCCCTATCACATCTGTTTCATGCTTTTGATCTGCTCAAATTTAGTTCTCACCCGTAAAAAGTATCAGGATCAGATACATAAAATTGTGGTGACAAAATTTTGACCCTGTACTGAAAAGTTTGATTCCATGCTTAAAATTCCTGTATCCTTTCTCTATTTCTCTCTCACCCCCTAATAACCGAGCACTTTTTTTAATACATCCCCATAAAAGTAATCCCTCTTTTAGACACTTGACAGTTTCACAAGGTAGAACATATGTGTGTGAGAGTTCCTGTATGAACAAATGTCAGTGTGCGAGGAACCAAACCTTGGCGTGATCTGCACCTCCAAAGACAATGGTTCCGCCGGAACTTATATACACATAGAATCAAATCTTGTCAACATTCAAACATCAATTGAATGAATGGTTTACATAGATTTTGAGTTAAATTCATGAAACAGTAGCTTGAAACCAATTGCACATAACTGTAGAAAAAAGCAAAAATTACAATCAATTTCAAACAATTTTACATGTTTCCTTACATACATCTATCACTTTGTATCAATGCATGACCAGTACAATTCTCCTGTCAAAGTAAAGAGTATCTGAACACTGGGTTAATCACTGCAACCCTCTCCCTCTCATACTGGACGACTCACCGACAGGGATAGTCTGACCAGTGATCTTGTCACACCAGCCAGCGAAGTAGCGGAAACAGTCAATGGTTGCTCCAATGTCGTCCACAGAATCCAGGAATGGCTTCCCATTGTCCAGAGTCTCCAGGCTCTATTAGCATAACCAACAGAATTATGTCAGTACAACAACAGAATCATGTCAATATAACCAACAGAATCATGTCAACACAACCAACAGAATCATGTCAACACAACCAACAGAATTATGTCAACACAACCAACAGAATCATGTCAACACAACCAACAGAATTATGTCAACACAACCAACAGAATTATGTCAATACAACCAACAGAATCATGTCAACACAACCAACAGAATCATGTCAACACAACAACAGAATCATGTCAATATAACCAACAGAATCATGTCAACACAGCCAACAGAATCATGACACACTGACGCATCAAAATATTGTAAAAAAGGTTCTCATAACATTACCAATATAGTGACACTGCTGAGGTACTCTTAACACATGTCACGCATAAAACCTGTTATCCATGTCAGAATGATGAGACCTGATTGGTTCACATGGTCTTGACAAAATATGATGTATCCTGGCTTGGAGGGAAATATATTTCACAGTGGGAGAGTAAATCCCGTATACCCCGACATGAGCAAGTCAGGCTCCACAAGGATTTCTGAGGTCAAATAAATCCCTTATACCTTGCTTTGAAGCAAAAAGCTGCATGCTTTTTCTGAGTCAATGAAGTCATGTGACATAGCATAAGATAACCTCAGCTCAAATGAACAGCTGTTTTCTGTCAATATTGAATTTGTTTTAATTCTTTTACATATTCATATTAAAACATGTAGGTATGATAAATGTTGTAACAGGATCATGAGGGGTACAAGGGGTTTTGTGTCCCTCCGGCTTGTAGTATAAAACCTAACATGGGATGCTACAACTTATAATGTATGCAAAGTTAGGTCTCGGAGGTCCTCCAATATGCTTCAACAGGGATCAGCCAATCAAATGACATGTAACAGTTTGACATCCTGATACAGCATCAATTTATGCGTTTGGTTGCATTGGCTGGAAACATCATGCTAAGACAGACAGACACTGTGATTGGTGGGAACTGCACATCGACCACCCTTATCACCTGGGACGTTCTTTCAGAATCAAGATGTATTCATATTGTATCAGTACACTGTGTATTGTCCAAGCCCTATAAGGAATCAAAATCTCTTTCCATGTGATTATGAACATATCAAAAGGTTTCTCTACACTACGTTCCTCCATCATCCGTGAATACACACAGCCATTTTGTGGTGTAGTCGCTATTTTGTTAATCACAAGAACATCTGTAAAACAAGTCACTCTCTTTTAACAGACAACTTTATCTTAAAAACAGATCATCATCTGAGTATTTACAATGTCTGAGTGACCCCACACCCCTTGTTATAGCACGAGGAATCGCAATAAACATGGCTGCTCGAAAATGTAGGATGTCCAAAAACCTATGACCCGAAGAATAAAAAGGACTCCAGAGACTCTCCTCATTTTCAGATACTGCAGTAATCTAGACTTGCCCACTTTTATAGACTTGCAAGGGCTGTATTGGATATATTTGTTTCAGGGTCTGTATGACAAAATGGAGTAGGACTCATTTGACTTCTGTGAGTTATTCATTCATTTCATCAGCAAACTAAAAGTAGCCACACATCACTACCACACTTCATATCAGAACAATGTGGCCACAGGCGATGGAGGAACGTAGTAGATCCGTGAAATAAGATGGTGGAAGGCCAGTTTGTTTTTATTGCTTACCGCAATGTATTCCTTGTCTCGCTCCAGTAGATCGGCAAACTTGTTGATGAGAGCTGCTCTCTTGGATGCGTCCATCGTCCTCCATGTTGACCCCGTCCTGAAGGCCGATCGGGCGGCTGCAACTGCCAGGTCTACATCGATCTGTAGGATGCAACATGTCACAATGGTCATGACGGCCTGGAGGTAAGTGCATCTGGGTCACATGACCTAGTGGTTGATGTTATGAGCAAAGTCTCATGCCATCTTGTTGTGATGACACGCAATCAGCCTCGTCATCAAGCCAGACCACTCACTCAGTTTGGCAATTTCATTGTACAGTGATGTCAGAATTAGAAATTGGCACTAGTCCTGTAGTCCTTGCAAAAATACCCAATGGTTGAGGTATCACAAGGACGAGTAGAAATTTGCAGTTTTAAGGGGTTTGCTATGTGTTTTCATTTTAAGGTCTGGAGGACTAAAACAGTTTCTATCACTGGATGTCATGAGTTATGAGTGAATTGTCTGGACAGACTTCATGTGACTGTATCCATGGTAATACGTGCGACCAGCTTCAGGATTGCATGGTCAAAACGGGTAGATCTAAACTTAATTTACAAGTACACTCAGTTAACATACAACATGTCAAATGTCAATTGTTTGTTATGTTTGTAATTTAGGACACAGCGGTATTGCAGCTATATCACCATGGTCACTACAACCTATAAGTATGTGAATCGGGGCCAGTTGAGCTAGTGGTTGATATTATGAGCAATTTCTCATGATGTCTTGTTGCGATGACATGCAATCAGCCTTGGCCACTCATCCACTTTGGTTAACTCTTTCAACCCAATCACTGCAGGTCTGTATAGAAATATTCCAGCGATATGGTCGTGAAAATTCAAATCTGGACAAGACAATCCAGTGGTCGGACTCACTGTCTTGGTAGTTGGTTGATGTATGTCAGCATATCCCAATTGCGTAGATCAATGCTCATTATTTTAGCCACTGGATTGTCTGGTCCAGATTTGATTATGTATAGACTGCCATCATATAGCTGGAATATCGCTGAGTGTGACGTTAAACAAATAAACTATATGAAAATACTGTAAAAGTTCTTGTTTTGTAACAAAATCGTTCTGAACAATAAAGAAAAGGAACTCATATTATTTCATAATGTCCACAACCAAAGTCGCTTTCAATGCTCACCTTGTCTGCCTCCTGAATCTCACAGATTACCTCCCCTGTGCATGGGTTCAAGGTCGTGAAGGTGCGGCCACTCTTAGCATCCACCCACTTATTGTTGATGAACAGCTGGAGGAAGAAACATCAGTCATAATCAACTGAACATAGCTCGTAAAATATTGTTATAACGTCAATCAAGCTGACCATCCAGATCTCCTCCTGAAGTCCCTGATTCTCAACAAGGGCCACGTTGTGATGCAATATTTTCATAGTTCATTCACCAATACTGCATTGATAAATCTAACATGACAAACATCTTGTGACCAACATTATACCAGTCATATCAATCATTCCAGCAAGTGCATATCGTAACATAACTGACAACACAAAACGCTGCTAAACTGATTTCAAAAATGCCTTGTATGCATCCATATCTGGAAGCAATTTATGCATCATGCTGTATCAAAGACAGATTTAACACTTCTGTACATACATCAAAATAATGACATCAAAGAGAAATTTAGAATTTAGAAAAGAGAAATCAGTCTGTGTTTTAACAGCTTACTGATATTACAAGGGGGATTCATGTGGAGACTATGGAATAAGTTGGGGGGGTCCAAGTCATGGACATGGGGGTCCAAGGCAAGGACATAGGGGTCCAAGACATGGACATGGGGGTCCAAGACATGGACATGGAGGTCCAAGGCATGGACATGGGGGTCCAAGACATGGACATAGGGGTCCAGGGCATGGACATAGGGGTTGTTGCTGATTAAACACAAGGGCTAACACGCCCCCTTCTGTGGGACATACATGACTTAATTGTTGCTGATTAAACACAAGGGCAAACACGCCGCCTTCCGTGGGACATACATGACTTAATTGTTGCTGATTAAACACAAGGGCAAACACGCCGCCTTCCGTGGGACATACATGACTTAATTGTTGCTGATTAAACACAAGGGCAAACACGCCGCCTTCCGTGGGACATACATAACTTAATTGTTGCTGATTAAACACAAGGGCAAACACGCCGCCTTCCGTGGGACATACATGACTTAATTGTTGCTGATTAAACACAAGGGCAAACACGCCCCCTTCCGTGGGACATACATGACTTAATTGTTGCTGATTAAACACAAGGGCAAACACGCCCCCTTCCGTGGGACATACATGACTTAATTGTTGCTGATTAAACACAAGGGCAAACACGCCGCCTTCCGTGGGACATACATGACTTAATTGTTGCTGATTAAACACAAGGGCAAACACGCCCTTTTCCGTGGGACATACATGACTTAATTGTTGCTGATTAAACACAAGGGCAAACACGCCGCCTTCCGTGGGACATACATGACATAATTGTTGCTGATTAAACACAAGGGCAAACTCGCTGCCTTCCGTGGGACATACATGACTTAATTGTTGCTGATTAAACACAAGGGCAAACACGCCGCCTTCCGTTGGACATACATGACTTAATTGTTGCTGATTAAACACAAGGGCAAACACGCCGCCTTCCGTGGGACATACATGACTTAATTGTTGCTGATTAAACACAAGGGCAAACACGCCCCCTTCCGTGGGACATACATGACTTAATTGTTGCTGATTAAACACAAGGGCAAACAGGCCGCCTTCCGTTGGACATACATAACTTAATTGTTGCTGATTAAACACAAGGGCAAACACGCCCCCTTCCGTGGGACATACATGACTTGATTGTTGCTGATTAAACACAAGGGCAAACACACCGCCTTCCATGGGACATACATAACTTAATTGTTGCTGATTAAACACAAGGGTGAACCTGGAACAATAGTCATTGTATAATGAAACTGGAACACGTCACTATGTCATGTCTTATTACGTTGGGTATGGTGCTGACAAACCTAGAAACATAAGAGGGGTGGGGATTCGAACCCCCAATCCTTGGTTTCTGGCGTGCCCAAGGGATGTTTCAAACAGACGTTCTCCGGGACTCACAAGGTCCATCCTGTGTGCATCCCTTTACAGTGAGAGAGTGAGTATGGTTTTACGCCACTTTTAGCAATATTCCACCATTATCACAGTGGGAAACACCAGAAATGGGCTTCACACATTGTACCCATGTCGGGAATCGAACCCGGGTCTTCGGCGTGACGAGAGAACACTTTAATCACTAGGCTACCCGACCGCCCCTCATCCCTTTACAAATTGTACACACATGTATTGCATCTGGGAAAACCTCGTGAGAATAACAGTAAGATTTATTTTTGTTGCTAGATCATGATTCTTATCAAACTATTTACGTGACATTGACTTTGTGACACATTTGATCTCAATTTTGAAAAGGTTGTGAAACTCTGAGATTAATAGATAACCCACATTTCCATGCAATTTTTATTATAAACTAGATAACCCATATTTCAAAGTATTTCTTTATCCACAGTATTCCACCAGCAGGTACAGGGGCTCACCTTCAATCAGTGACCCAATATGTTAGGGGGAGGACGTGCCAAACAGGTATTTGTATAAATAACAAACTCCCTACACAATGGATTAATTAATTTTTGGTTTTGTAATTACTTCATATTTTATAATGCATGCTGACAAAAGACACACTTAAATGATCATATCCAACATCAAAACCTGTTAATATAAATACCTTGCCCTAAACTGACAAGACCCGTGAAGAATCGGAGTAGAATAGATCTTCAGTAACCTATTCTTGAAGTAATAGGCGACTATGCTTGTCGTAAAAGGCGACTAACGGGATCAGGTGGTCAGGCTCCCTGACTTGGTTGAAGCGCGTCATCGATCCCAATTGCGTGGATCAATGCTCATTATATTAATCACTGGATTAGAACCTTATTGCTTACTAACTAGAGCTGATGAAGGCCCATAACATCAGGTCAGACTAAACATATATAACTATTAAACATATGAGGAGGGGATAGGGGTAAGCATGTACAGAGCTCGTAACATGGCCAATTAACCTACAGGAAATGCCACATTGTAATTCATGCACACATGCTTCTTAATTATCACTCACAGAACATGAATGCGCATAATAAATTCACTCAAGGCGTCTACTGGCAAAGTTATAAAAAGGAGTGTCAGAGTTACATCCCCTAATGTGCTGCAGTGTGTGTGCGTGTGTGTGTGTGTGTGTGTGTGTGTGTGTGTGTGTGTGTGTGTGTGTGTGTGTGTCACATTGAAAGACCAAGCTTTTACTTCAAGACTACCATAGGTTCGACACATCAAAGTTCGAAACAGCGGTGTTCTAGTATTTGATTTCTATTCAGCTGAATGATTCACAGAAGTTCTTCTGCGTTCCTTTATGCTGATGTATATTCTACTGCAGTAAAAGCAACATGTTCCCGCATCTTAGATAATGTAATTTTCAACACTTTCTTCTGGAGTGATTTACATTTCAAAATTAACTGACTAAATATGATGTGAAAAACTTCTCGACGTTTTTTACTAAGGTGAAAAATTAATGACAACTGACAAAAGGTTCCAAATCTGAGTGACAACTGCACTGTGACAACCCCCATCAGGACCCTCCTGGTACGTGATGTGAAGTGGGTCAGTCAGATTCTGAGAGCGCTATGGTTGGTTTACAATTTACATGACATAAAACGTGGTAGCTCTCATGATATAGGATTTGAACTTTCTTGTATGAAAGGGTCAGTATGTTGACCGTTTTGAAGCATTGATTGTAAACAACAGCCGATAACCCCCGAGTTCACTAGGCTTTGCTCGCCTTATTCCACAAGAGATGTTTCTGCTCCTGTGACCACACCCCTGGTGTAGGCTTATCATGTATCTTCGATTACATCCAAGTCACTGCATCTCCAGGTCTCATCGATTACATCCAAGTCACTGCATCGCCAGGTCTCATCGATTACATCCAAGTGACTGTATCGCCAGGTCTCTACAATTACATCCAAGTGACTGTTACACCAGGTCTCTTTGATTACATCCAAGTCACTGTATCGCCAGGTCTCTTCAATTACATCCAAGTGACTGTATCGCCAGGTCTCATCGATTACATCCAAGTGACTGTATCGCCAGGTCTCATCTATTACATCCAAGTGACTGTAACACCAGGTCTCTTCGATTACATCCAAGTCACTGTATCGCCAGGTCTCTTCGATTACATCCAAGTCACTGTATCGCCAGGTCTCTTCGATTACATCAAAGTGACTATATCGCCAGGTCTCTTTGATTACATCCTAGTCACTGTGTCGCCAGGTCTCTTCGATTACATCCAAGTGACTGTAACACCAGGTCTCTTGGATTACATCCATGTCACTGTATCGCCAGTTCTCATCGATTACATCCAAATGACTGTAACGCCAGGTCTCTTTGATTACATCCAAGTGACTGTAACTCAAGGTCTCTTTGATTACATCCATGTCACTGTAACGCCAGGTCTCTTTGATTACATCCAAGTCACTGTGTCACCAGGTCTCTTCGATTACATCCAAGTGACTGTAACACCAGGTCTCTTTGATTACATCCAAGTGACTGTAACGCCAGGTCTCTTCGATTACATCCAAGTGACTGTATCGCCAGGTCTCTTGGATTACATCAAAGTGACTGTAACACCAGGTCTCTTTGATTACATCCAAGTGACTGTATCGCCAGGTCTCTTGGATTACATCAAAGTGACTGTATCGCCAGGTCTCTTGGATTACATCCAAGTGACTGTAACACCAGGTCTCTTCGATTACATCCAAGTCACTGTAACACCAGGTCTCTTTGATTACATCCAAATGACTGTATCGCCAGGTCTCTTGGATTACATCAAAGTGACTGTAACGCCAGGTCTCTTTGATTACATCCAAGTCACTGTAACTCAAGGTCTCTTTGATTACATCCATGTCACTGTAACGCCAGGTCTCTTTGATTACATCCAAGTCACTGTGTCACCAGGTCTCTTCGATTACATCCAAGTGACTGTAACACCAGGTCTCTTTGATTACATCCAAGTGACTGTAACGCCAGGTCTCTTCGATTACATCCAAGTGACTGTATCGCCAGGTCTCTTGGATTACATCAAAGTGACTGTAACACCAGGTCTCTTCGATTACATCAAAGTGACTGTATCGCCAGGTCTCTTGGATTACATCCAAGTGACTGTATCGCCAGGTCTCTACGATTACATCAAAGTGACTATATCGCCAGGTCTCTTTGATTACATCCAAGTCACTGTGTCACCAGGTCTCTTCGATTACATCCAAGTGACTGTAACACCAGGTCTCTTTGATTACATCCAAGTAACTGTAACGCCAGGTCTCTTCGATTACATCCAAGTGACTGTATCGCCAGGTCTCTTGGATTACATCAAAGTGACTGTAACACCAGGTCTCTTTGATTACATCCAAGTGACTGTATCGCCAGGTCTCTTGGATTACATCAAAGTGACTGTATCGCCAGGTCTCTTGGATTACATCAAAGTGACTGTATCGCCAGGTCTCTGCAGGGCTTCGAGGACAGGATAAATACGGAAATGAAAACAGTTTTTCACAAATTTTAGGGTATTTAATCATGAAATATGTTTATCTAAATGTTTAGATTTGTCCAAAATGATACAGATGAAATAGAATTGAATGGACTGTGTAAGATGTGACAATGTGGGACAGTGTGTGTGTGACAGATCTAGGCTGGCCACATAAGTAATTTTGATGTATCATATTGTACACATGTCATTGCAGTAACTAGTTTCAGACTCATAATGGCAGGAAGATAATTGAATGCCAAAACCAGGAGAATATAAAACAAGTGCAGATAATATATTGTGTTTTTTTAGTATGCACACGACAGGTGTACAATTACTGCATATACTGCATATAACTGGAAATATTTTCAAGGATGCCTTATGACTCTCAATGCAAATTCAATTCAACATATTGCTCACTGTTAAAATATGAAAATGAATTGTGTGGAACCTGATCCAACATAGAAACCAATGGAGTTGAAAGGTGGGGCAAAAGCACTTATAGTTTATATGTGCGTGTAACGTAAGAATCAAGTCTTTGAAAGAACCATCACTATTACGTATTACATGCATGGAAAAACTGCATCATAATTGTCATGATTCACAGATCTGGAAATTGTACGCCTCACAATTAGCTGACGTTGGGAAAAAACCACATGAACTAGTAGCTGTACACCACACAAATAAAACTGATAGGGTACCGGTATATATATATATATATAATTATATATATATATATATATATATACGGCCAAATCATATACATGGGTAATAATGATTTGTAATTGCACACACTTGGTCTAGGACGAGTCCAAATTTACTACCCGGGTACCCATCCCCCTATTACCTGACCCTACCTGGGTACCCACTGTAGGTCTCAGGAGATGTCTCAAAATGTCCGATTGGGAGCAAAACGTATTTAGATACACATATTAAACAATCTGGTCATTCATACACTGAAGTTGAATTAAGTTATATCTTTATTCAACCACATGAAAAATCAGAAGGGTGCACAGTCAGAAAGAAATGCGATCATTAGTGACTTGTAGTGTAACCATAGAGTTCTAGATATTTTTTGTCATTAAACAATTTATCACGTGTCTCACCACGGGTCCGGGGAGTCCTGTGGGTACCCGGGTCCTACTCAGTACCCACCCGACCCAAATACCCGAGTTACCCAGCCCAGCCCTAGCACACACAGTTACGAATTCCTGTGGCCAAACTAAACAAAAGTAAGATTCACTGACTCGTGTCGTGTTGACTGAGAGGCTAATACTCATCTGGACCGTTCAACAAATGACACTGTCATTGACAGTAGCAAAACAATGTCGCCAATCATTGACCCAATGTGGGGGTGTGACCTGAATACAACCGCCGACACGCGACCGACTTCCACACTGGTTCTAGACAGTGTCAACTACTTACTTGTTTGTATTTGATTTCTGGGTTGCGGTTGGGCGTCGGATCAGACATTGTCACCTGTTATTGCTTGCAAGCACACGGAGGAACACAACTCCACGTCCTGAGAAAGACCCAGCAGATTCACCAACTTGTGATTTCGGATCCAACCTTCACCTTTAGATACGCACTCCACATCACCACGTGCCCCATATTATGCATCGCGTGGAATGCTCTCGGCAGATGAAGATCGATCGGGTTACGACATCGCTGTGAAGAGCTTTGTGGGATGACATTAAATTAGTTCCCGGCTACCTATGCGCCTTGTCTACTTATGGACATCAAGAGACGAAGCTCAGCTTATGATGATTTTCAGGGCGCTTTTTTTAGTATGTCCAAAGCATTATTGCACAACGACGAATCAGCAATATTTTAGGAGAAGACTCATCGGCGATGAATTGACAATTATCTGTACCTGTATACTATGGTGGCCGAGAGGGGACACCGCTTTCTCGCTGTAAAGCCATATCCCCTCACGACCACTGTAGGCTGCAGGTGTTATCTGTTTCAATTGGGAGGGAATGGAGAACTTTTCTCACTATTTACTTAAAAAAATAATTTAACTGTACAGACGTAGGTGATTTTAAAACAATCCACAGGTTTCTGAATAATATGTAATTCCTTTATTTATGGCCCTATTTAGTTTTATTTGACCATCACGCCGAAAGCGCGTGGCGGATCATGTCAATACGCTCTAAATAAATCAGGTTAAAATGTTAATATATACTTTTCAAAATAAGGTAAGAAGACTATGGTTAATAAGTCACGGCTGACTGTATTGCAAAATACAATCTTATAATTGTGGGTGTTCTATAACTTGTTTTCAGTAGTATATGATGGTACAGTGTGTCATACTGTTGTCCGTAAATATTCCTTTTTATATTTGATTTATGATCACCTTGTATTGTGTCTCTTGTCTTGTGCAAATCTACAAGTATATGAACCTGCATATTGTAATTTGATAAACACCGCTGTGAGTGAGTGAGAATGGTTTTACGTCGCTTTTAACATTAATCCAGAAATATCACCTCGGGGAATTCATAATTCTAATATTTTATGTATATCTTAAGTATAGTTTTGTCAAAATTATGTATGTGTGTGTGTGTGTGTGTGTGTGTGTGTGTGTGTGTGTGTGTGTGTGTGTGTGTGTGTGTGTGTGTGTGTGACTCATTGTCATATGAGTCATTGTGTATATATGTGGTAGATAACTACATAACACAACGCACAATTGTTAACCATACAGATCAATAGATAGAGAATTGTTACATAAATATGTATATATATTCCTGCTTGAGCCGATACTATAATTGGATATCTAGTCTCCCCCCTGGCGGGAAAGTTATAGTCTATTTTACAAGCACTTCAGCATTAAATTTGATTCCCGAAGACAGTTTGATCGAAAGGAATTATGATAAACGAGTTATTTTCAAATGTTATTTTTAACGCATTTCATTTCTATTGTCCAAGGAATGAGGTTACGGGTTGATGACGCTCTCAAAAGTCCTATATGTGACTTAAGGTAGAGACATATATCTAATCGATCTGTATTTTGTAAGGGAAACATAACTTTGCACATTTATAACTTTTGTCTGCATGATGTACATGCATCTTTAACAATATAATTGTCATCCCGAAATCGGACGAGCAAATATTCAGCTTTAATTCCAAATCTGTTAACCGACAAAATAATTCTTTGGACATTACAAACAATACAAACAGTGGCTGATGATAATGCTGACAAATATTTGTCTATATATGATCTTTTTATTGTTCCTGTTCAATTTATCCTTTAAAGTTTCAGTTTTAAGATTGATGGAAGATTTGGGTGGTATTATGAACAAAATTAAAATTTGAATAGCGACTATTCTGTTGTAGTCTGTCAATCTTGCTAATTTACTACACTACAAGGAAAGAAACACATGCGTGAATGAAAACTAAACGAGATAGCATTAAGTATGTATATGTAACATATTTATCTACTACAAGATGTTTAAAAAATCTAAATATAAGAGGCAAAATAGCGATGAGAATTATATATAGGAATGGATCACTGTATATCAGCAAAAAACGTTTTAATGTACGGCATTATGGGAAATATCGCTTTCTCGCTCTCGCTTTCTCTCATAACTGACCATAGTCATATGAAACAATCGGGTGTTCTTTAACTTCTTTTGAATAGTGTGAACTATAAATCTTTAAATTAACTTGAGAGTTAATTATGAATGCAAAAAATGCGGGTGGAATTAATGAATAAATGTCTCAGAAATGACTGTTGAAAGGACGGCCTCAGTCACACTTAGAATAGCAGAAATACGAACTTGAATATACAGTTGGATGGGTGACCACGTTCGGCAGCTTGACTCCTGAATATTTTCTGCCCCAAACTGAACCACTTGTAGCACATGTGGTGTCTCCTTGGGCAAAGTGACTCTGTTCGAAATGTGCCTCTGTTCACCAGCAATGAACGGGTACCCGGTAGGATGAGATGGTAATGTGCCAATATTATTAAATATATACTGTAGAGTGTAGAGATTCTACACAATCATTGCCTTTTATGATTGTTGACTGATTATAAGTCTTCAGCAACCCATGCTTGCCATAATAGGCGACTATGCTTGTTGTAAGAGGCGACTAACGGGATCGGGTGGCCAGGCTCGCTGACCTGGTTGATCCAAATGCTTTTCTCGATACTCATGATGTCAATCACTGGATTGTCTTGCCCAGACTTGATTATTGCTTGATGGACTATTGCTGAGTGCGGCATTAACAAACAAACAAACAAACAACAAATGTACGGACCCAATACTGATCCGGCAAGGAGTCATTACTAGGCTTGTATGAACAGTAGGTATTGGAGCTTAAACTGACGTTCATAAAGGTCAAAAGGATTTAAACAAAGCACATTCAAATGTGGGGCGTGCAAAACAGTCTAACTATACACGTTAAAAAAGAGAGAAACGCAATACCGATATTTGAGGCCATAAAAGCAAAAGTTAGCGGACCAAGAGGTGCACAATGAAGAGGTTTAATGTGTTATAGTGCCAGTGACAAATTTCCCGGATCAAAATGATCACAACAAGGACATGCAAACCATTAGTCAGGAAACACGTACGATTCGGAAAAAACGCGCACAGTGCATTAACAAAAGGGTCATGGAGCTGCACGTACTGCACGTGCAGCAGCACTATGAACGGTATTAAAGTGCAGGGTTTTTGATTTCCTGGCATCTGCGTCAATCAACAGTGACAGTTCAACAACATGCCAAGATTGACAGAAGTGCAATGAAACAACGTCATAGGCCGCTTGCAGGTAGGGGAATCCCGATCAGCTGTAGCCAGAGTTTTCAATGTAGCGCCGAGCACCATAACAAGGCTATGTGATCGGTTTTAACAGTATGGGTCAACACGGGATCGGCCAAGGTCGGGACGACCAAGAGAAATCACCCCCGCCATAGATCGCTACATCCGACTGCGCCACCTACGTGACAGGACGACCACAACCACTTCAACCGCATCCAAATACCAGGACTGCGCAGAATCTATGACCAGACCGTACAAAACCGTTTAAGAGCAACAGGTCTACGAGCAAGACGTCCTGTTCGACGCGTCATATTGAGTCGACAATATCCTCAACAATGACTGCATTGGTGTCGTCACATAGGTTATGACCGCAACTGCGATGAAGAGATGTCTGAGTCAGCGACGAATCACGATATCTCCTCTGTCGAGGGGATGGCAGAGCATAGGTCCAAAGACGTCGGGGAGAACGTTACGCCAGAAACTGCGTACAGGAAGTGGACAGGTTTGGTGGGGGTAGCGTTATCATGTGGGCGCTAGTTGTCATCATGACAGGACAGGTTTGGTCCATACCCAGGGCAATACATCAACGAAATTCTCCTACAACACGTCCTCCTAATTGCAGCCAACGGCAAGGGTGTATTCCAGCAGGACAACGCTCGACCGCATACAGCACGGATCACAAGAGCCTGTCTACACAACTATAGTTTGGAAGTTAATTTAAGGTACCGACGATTACTACAATATCTGAAAAACTATTGGACCTACTCCAGTCAAAGTTGGTATGAGATTATTAAACAGTCATACATAACTGGATATTACATTTAAGGGCAATCGGTGCATGAATAAAAAGTATGTCTATTTAGCTATCACTACATTTCATCAACAACCAGACCTGTTCGTCACGGGTGGAACGAGCATTCATTGTAACAGCCATCTGCATAATCCTACCCTTGCGTCACAGGGCCATATGACACAATTGAACCAATCAACTCAACTCGAAAGATTGCACTGGAATCACGCTCAGCCACAGATGGATGTATTTGTACCTTAGAAGACAGGGCGAGGACACAGAGAGGCTATGCCGTTCAGAAAGGTAATATAAGGGGGGCATAAATAAAGCAGTTAAAAAGATGTCGCCATGGAAAATTCAGCAAAGATGATCCAGGCCAGTTTCAAAACCCACCCCTTACGTGGCTTCTACACCACTACTATATCCTTGTTCCCAGTCACGTGACCGTCACCTTCCTCAATGATTTTAGCTAAGAAGATAGGCTATGTAGGTGACTGTGGAGTCACTACCTGTAGGTCTTGCCCACTGCGCAGTAAACACGGAGGCGTGCTGGAGGTAAGTTGTGTTAGTGCGTATGTTTACATTTGAATTTGATACTATGAGCTTAAATCAGGGTCGAATATATATATTTATATGACGGTTGTTATGTAATCTTATATGTCTAATAGACAAAGGACAGTGCTGTACGTTGTGGCATGAACCACCTAGCACCTCTGTGCAACGATAGCGTTATCTCAACGGTACAACAATCAATGTGTCTTAGCAACCAGGGACCTGTGGGGTCAGTATCAATACATTTGAAATAATATCCGTAAATGGCCACATAAATAATAAAAGTTTAGTAACATTCTGCAAGGCCAGTGTAGTTCAAATAATCCTAGTGACGCACGTAGCAATATCGGCTGTTGATCTTCCCGCTACAATTTAATCTCCCGTGTCTCAACTGGTGTAAGTAACAGGTAGTATCAAGGCTTTTTCTCGGGGCTACACATGTTACATTATGCCTCTATATCTGGATGTCACAATGACATTGGGGTACATTGTTTAAGCCCTGCGCTATAGATAAACCAAGTCTTAAGTCTCACTATGTTCACAGTGTAAGGCTTGAGTAAACAGAACGTGAAACCAGGTCGCATATCTAGACTCTCTAGTAAGGTTAGGTATGCTGTGGAACCTGATGTATAATTATTTATCAAACATCAAGATTTCACCCAAAGAAAACTCAGAAGCTATAGAAATCCACTGTTACAAACCTTTGATCAACAAAGACTAAGTGTATTAAATCTCGTCTGCCTATGAAGATCTAATACAGCAACAGACAATGTTAATTAGGATCCACTCAGCTTGTCACAACTGTTTAATCCATTTAATCCATATCCTAACTGTGGCTTTATTACCCGCGTGCTTCATTACCTGTGTGATATTTGTTATTCTTACTGTACATGCTACTTGTCATATATTACCTGTAGTTGTCAATGTTAATCTGCTGCTTATTACAACATATCATGCATATATTCCTCTCATCACTTGGTTGTTGTCACTCCGTTGCTAAGCATAAGGGTCCTGGACGTTTGCAATGGGGTAAATGTAAATGCTGACTATGGCATTCTATGGACCTTGTGCTGCAGGAGGTGAGCATTGTCCTGAAAGATTAAACGTCGACCAAAAAGCCATACAAATCGACAACGAAGGGTGTAAGAATGTTGTCCCGGTATTGTTTCCCGGTATAATATGGAGTGGGGTTGGGTCAGACATGGTGATGCCACCCCACACCATAGCCAATCAACCGCCTAATCGTTATTTTCTTCTTGATCATCGGGGATATGCTCAGACATACGCATTGTAGCTTGTCTCGCGCACCCTTCTTCCCCACCACAACTTTGGATATATGCTGAGTTTCCGGAGTATATATTATAGCGTGATTATTGAGCACTTTTGCAGTCAGGAATGGTTTTGAGCAAGTAGTATGACATTTAAAGCTTAAACTTGTGATGGGTCAAGCATAAGAATGACTCGTGTTTCGTTTTCGACTCGAAGAATGTGTCGTGTTAGTTATAGATCTATTGTGTTGAGCTCTTCTTTGAGGATTCATTGTGTTGTTCTTCGGTTAGCAGTAGAACCACAGTCTATGTGCTCTGTAGATTTATAGTTGTGAAATGACAAATATCTATTTCAATGAGTAGTTCTAATGTCTTATCTGATGTTTTGGTAGTAAAGATTACATTTGAGTAAATATGGAGCATAAAAGTTGATCAATATACTACCGACAAAACAAATAAGGTAACTGGTGAAATGGTAGTGAATGTGGAATGACGATAAATTTTTGTAAAACGAATTTCGTGCATGTAGATCAATATCTGGTGTGTACACCATGTTGGGCGATACATGCTCGACACCTTAGTGACACGCTGATGCTTAACTTGCCTATGGTCTTCCTGATATCGCCTGCCATTTCACATAAAGATTTATCCTAAGCTGTGCCAGATTGGCGAGTGCTAGGCCTCTGGAGTACAATCTCCAACCGAGAACGTCGCACAGATACACAGATGTTCAATTCTAGTGAAACGAAAAATGACAGGATGCACAATTTCGTTAACATATCACTGCCGTTCAAATGAAAATCACAATAATCAAATCAGTACTCATGTCATGTGTGGTACCGCAGAACACCATGACACTGCCACTCCCATTCCGATCTTGGTCAAAAATTCTAGCTTACCTCAACTACGTTCTCAGACATCTTTGAATTGAAGACAAAACCTTGATTGGCTGTAAAACATTGAAGTACGTTGGCAAAATGACAATTTGTAGGGGGTATAAATATAAAATGTCTGTAGATAATTTCTAATCGTGGGCCCGTAACTGGTGTTGCCGAGCCCACACCAACCTTTGCCTATGGCACAGGATGCATTGCTTTCAGTTTTTAACCTCAGATATTGAAATATCAGGTACTGTACGGAAATCTCCTTTGATAACAGGAGCAGATCTAGATGTATTGCATAGTGTAATTAAAGTAATGCTTTGATCTTGTCTAGATGTCGTTATGGCTGCCACGCCCCAGATCTCATTGCAACTCCATCCGTTTGACAGAACTTGCCCCACAGTTGACTATTTGTGCTCCTTGAGGAACATTTGGGCAACACGGGATACAGGCGCCCCAGCCTCCCCACCCCAACTCCATCTATTGTTCCAACAACATGCCATTTTGTCTATTCATTGAGATACTTGGAGGTAGTTTTAAGCTCATTGCCACGATATTGTAAATGTACCCGACAGCTACATCATCAGTTTCCTTATTTATTGACGGTAGCGCATTCACTCTAAACGATTGAGTTGTACTAGGAGAATACGAAGAAACACATTATCTCTATCATTTAGGTGATATAGCTTTACATGTGGCTGGAGACCATGTTTATGTTAAAAGGTTTTCAAAGGCATTTCACAGTCGAATTGTCGAGTAGAAAGACCCCGAGGTCTTAGCAATGATCGCGTAAGGTTTCTGCTAAACCTCACAAGCGGAGACAGTTATGGCAACATAGTGATGTATTAAAATATATATGTAATATGTGTCAAGCAGTAGAATATTAGATGTCTCACTATATATTTTATAGTTTCTTCTGATTGTAAGTATAGAAATACTATCATAATGCCACTTAAATATTAAAAGTTTGTGATGTTATAAATATATGGAAAATATTACTATAGATACGAAATTCCTTGAATAGTGAATTTATTTACTTGACCAAGATGTAGATAATGTTTCATTGTAAACGACATTAAATCTTAAATTATACCAGACTTAGTGTAACCCTTTTTACTGGATGAAATTCTTGATATGAACGTTGACTCACAACATGATAAGCAACACTTGGCTGATATCAAACTGCCACAGACAAAAAATATACAGTTAAAAGGCGTTGTTACTGTTATATTTTCGTGGACAGGAAAGTTAATCAAAGTGTCCCTAAAGTTACTGTTTTTCACGTACATGATTTATTGACTATTATCCTGAGAATATTCTTTTCCAATTTACTTAAATATGTGGTTGCTTTGCGCCTTTAAGTAACTGCAGTTGAACATACTTCCTTATTGCCAAGATAAACATGTGTATTGATTTTCTCCCAGTGGGCTGCACAGGGGGTATACATGTTGCTATGTTTTGTTGCTAGGGTGCACGATGGTCGTGTGGGGCCTCGAAGATAACTATTAGCAAAAGTCATTCTGAATACGTGAAGGAATTTATCATAGTTCAGTGCGGTCAATAATAGTACTTGTTTGATTAAACATGTTTGCGTTGGTCGTTACACTTTCTGTTAAGACAGGCATATCTATATCAATCTAATGTGTTTTTTTGTTTTGTGTATATACGTATATGTGCAGTAATAAACGTAAAAACAGTGTGCAGACATGTGATCATTTTACCATGGATATATAAAAGTAAAATTCTAATCAACTTCACAAGATTTGTCAAGAAATGTCAACACGTGTCCTCTTTACTGGTTCAAAATATATGGAGCCGAGATCAAAGACGCCGTCAACAAGTAGCACCGTACGTTGTCACGTGAACCACCACCACATCCCCATCCCCCCACCCCCCCACCCCCCCACCCCCCCCTCCCCCCCGCCCCCCCTACACGACACAAAACACAATTCTTCGTTGAGAGGAGGCTCAGTAGGAGATTTATCTCGACGGTACACAACATGACTGTCAATCAATATCTTGGCTGAATAGATAGGCTATGCAGGTCACATATGCAGTCACCACATGCCGTTTCTATCTCCAGTGTAGTACATGTACATGCTAAGGAGGTGTGGTGTAGGTAAGTTTTTGTCAGTTTGTATATTTGCATATGATTATAATAAGGTGAGCTTTATTCAGACTCAAACATATATAGTCATATAGCTGTTGTCATTCAATGTAACTAATGTTCTATCATGTTTGTTTGTCTATTTACTTTACATCTCTCTCTTTGTACATATTTTATATAGAGACGGAGTTTAATTTTTTTCAATGTCACAGAGTATAGTCATGTTCTCACTTTGTGCAACCCCATCGGTTCCTGAAAGAGAAACAACAACCCTTCCAGATGAATGTATTGTCCTTTCTTGTGTCTATGCCTGTGCTAACGTCTTGTGTGGTGCTGAAAGAGACTCAACACATTGACGTTGACAGTGCGTTATTTGGAAAGACTGCCAACTCTTTTATTTTGTTATTTCATGCACTTGGTATTTCTGTAGAGCAATCCTGTCAACGAAATTTCCCTGCTCATGTTGATCTGGTTGATATGCATTCGATGTGACAAATACAGTATAGCTGGATCATGACCTACCAGGATCATCTTACTAAATTCTTCGTGCTCTAACCTCTACCCTCCAAATGACCATCATAAGTCACGTACCAGTTGTTGGATATTTTCCTAATGACCATCAAACATATTAAAATGCATACAGAGCGACGATGGTTGAAAATTCACTGCACATGTGATTACAATCATTACGAGTTGAAGCAAATTTGACCTGATTGTTACGTCGCAAGTCCAGACATCAAGGTTCTGTTGAAAGAGCCACCTGTGATGTGAAAGACATACTGGCTGCTTGAGTAGCTGATTACAATACCAATAACTGAAGGACTGTAGGACTGACGTTTGTCCAGTTTCAGAAGGACTCCTGTCATCACAGAGGAATCTGGGGGATTCCCTCAGCTGCTTTTTAATTAGGTTCTGATGGCAAACATTAGTTTGACAGCTTCCAATTTCCTTTTCCGTGACAATAATCTGATAGTGGCAATTTCGGCTCTAAAACCATCCTCAGAGACATGCACGGAGACTGACCAAACTGTCACATTTTAATAATCAGAGACAACATCACCTGATGTCACGCCTTCTGGGACACCATCATCTGAGGTGCAATAGGTGCATCTATCCCTCAGAAACTTGACCACAGCCATCATCATGCAGACGCTGATGATTTGATAAAATAATGTATTCCATACTAAAACAAAACAATGCAAACAAATACGTGTGTGTTAGTAGTGAAGGAAACAAATCTTTAATAAAAATGTAATAGTAGTATATGTGTTTCAATTACAAGCCAATTAACAATGAAGTGATTTGCTTTCTTAGAACACCAAACCGCCAATTTGCACAGATTGTTTGTGTTTCAGGTTCACATTGTTTGATATGTCAAACAATACTTGCTACAATGTAATGAAGGATTTCACGAACATTCTCTAAACGTTTTTGAAAGGCATATCTAGGAAGATGGCTGTAGTCTTTACTGCAGCTGTAGATGCCATTTTGAATGTTTGACAATCAACAAAAGAGAAAAGTAGGATATGTTCTGTGAAAGTTATTTCGATGTGTTCATTAGTTCTGGAGGAGAAAAAGTATTTAGTTAAGTGCTGACGGACGAATGGCAGACGAACATAGACTTAATCGACTCAAATTGAACTGTAAAAAAGAGATAACGATGACACTCTAAAACATAAATTGTCTTGTATGTCTCTTTCAGCACTGTTCTCCTTTTCATCCTGTGGTTTCGAGTTCTGCATCATGGCTTCAGGAAAAGGAGTTCTCCAATCTAAGGCTGTGCAAACCAAACAGAGAAGGAGACCCAAAGGAACTATAGGTAAATAACCACATTCAAAATGTTAAGAGTATATGTATCTTGGTATGAGATCAACTTCATTTCCTGTAGTAAATGAAGGCTGAGTAGGTTGTCTTGATAATGTCACTTAAGTCACGAACTGAGATACCACAGAACCGTTGCATTTCATTGGATACAGTAGACATCATCATTTCAGTACCAGTGTTACAAGTCATAAATAAGAGAGGATCAGTATCAAACATTTATGTCAATTTAATCAATCAATCAACAAGATTTATATCTGTACTTTACTAAGAAAGTGTTACCCAAAATATAACGTTTGTTACATTTGACCACTTTCTAAATGGCATTGTGTGTTCAAAACTCTATAGGGAGTTTTTGGACAAATCCCATCTAAATGGAAAAGTGCTTCATGATAAGAGTGTGTTCATTACATGTGCTCAATACATGCAGTATTGTTATTATTATCAGTAGTGTAGTAGTACTTGTAGTACTGGTAGCTGTAGTTGTACTTCCAATAATTACAAACACTGTGTTATTGGACATCTACTTGAAATGTAAACTAGTGACCAATACATTTGCAATATTTGACAATTTGTCGTGTGTACTGAAATTTTTTATATGTGGTGCATCGTGTAGTCAAGAGTACACAATCAATATTATGATGACCCACACTAAGCTTCGATAGCAAATTGCATGGTTGTTTTTTTCAGGACAATTGAATGTTCGAGGCGGCACTGATCATGCAAGTATTGAAAACAGCCATACTACTGGGATCAGAAATTATATTGGTAAGATACTGGCCATTTGGTATTCTTATGATCAATCGATAAATAGGAATAATAATTGAACTCATATGGATGTTTGGACCTGTAACCTTTGGATTGTTACATGATAAAACCAATCACAAACTCTGTTGTTTTTTTTAAGATAATGTTTGAAGCAGTATGGTTTGAGACTCACTTACAATCGCACATTGTGTTACTTTCTGGCATGAGACTCAACGAGTACCTAAAGTATCACTAAGAAGTGCCAGGCTCAAAGCTCTGTTTTCGTAAAGTGTAAAGTGACGACGTTTTCTGCCTTAAACATATTGCGAGATATGCTCTATATTTTAAGAATTGGTAAATGTCGTTATTTGGAAAGAGAAATACATACTTTTATATACATATCAGAATGCAGCTGTTGAATCATCTGTTTCAACCAGAGGTTATTTTTCATGTATTTTTCCAATGAAGGACTGAAGTGTTGATATACTGCAATACTGTTAGTTACAGTTCTGTGTCAGGAGTGTGCTTAGATTCTGGTATGAACAAAGAACACGTTTAAACCATCCATACTCTTAACTTGAGGAAATATTAAAGACTTAATTCACCTCCTCCTGGATGAACTGTAAGTCCTCGTTTAATTCTTGGAATTTTAAAAAGCAATAGAATTGATTGATAAATTTTGTAATGTTGATAATGTATTGTAAAAAGTATGTGATTTTAATTTGGTAGAATGAACTAATAACTGAGATTGTTGGTGGCTGTACCTTCAAAGGGGGTTGAAGTAACGTAAAATAATTGTCCCCCTGAGAAGGTATGTAAGTCCCATTTCATTCAAAGTATTTTTCATTTTCCATGTTTTTAATCGTAGAATTTTTGTTGTTTTTTAATGTTTTGGCTTAAACTTACCGACAATCACCAGTAGCCAGAGGGATGGTGTAAATCCTGCTGGGTTACCATGTAGGTAGCAGAAGTATCATAAGTCCCAATGGTACCAAGTATGGTGACCTACCTTTGGTTATTGGTGATCTATAGCCCATTTGTATTGTGTACTGTTTTGAATTGATAAAATTTTATGATGATATGCTAGTTTAAAATCTACAACTGTGATAGTCTAGTGTGTCTACTGTCCTTTGTCGACAGATTGTAAATGTCTATATTTATGTATTATTCATGTACTACTTGATTTAGTCACGATATGGCTGAAATACTGGCGATGTGACTATACATCTTAACTCACTCACTCCTGCTGGATGGAGTATCAAACTCATCAAACTACAAACATTACGAATGTTTTGAGGAACTCGTATGCTAACATTATGATATGGACAAAACATACTTGTGTATGTTTAACATTTCAGCATACACAAAGAATGTAATTCATGTGACACCAGATGGACTGCTTGCCACAGACAGTTCAAGAGAACTGCGTAAGTTAGTCTCCAATCTTTTTAAGGGATTGCCCTCAATTCAGTATCAAACTCATCAACCAGCACATAGAGCAGTGACTGTATTACGGTTGAAGCACATGTTACAACCATTCTCAATTTAGTTTCTACAATGCTTTAAATGTACGGCTTATCTTTTCAAGAAAAGAATGCTTGCTAGTCAATGGGGACAATACCATAATATTAACAATTATTATTGTGATACTGTTCTCATACAAGTATGATTTGATTTGATTTGATTTGTATATGTATTATCCTACAATGTTATGCTTATAGATGTTAACGTTTTCTGAAAGAATATCCACATGGCTCCAATGGTTAACATTGTATTTATTTATTTGTTTTCCTTATGTAGTTTTTATATAATTGTATCTGTCAGTGATGTCCTGAATTTGGTTCAGGGACAATTGTGAGGCATCAATAATTTGATCGATTGTAAAACTATTAGCCTGAAATAACAATAGTAATTTGAAATGAACAGAAGAGGCCAAATATTCATAAACAGCTTTTTGAACATCCACAAGAATAAGTGTACATGTATGTTGTTCTGTGGTTATGAATTACTAATGTATTACAATTATCAACTATTCATGTAATTGCAGCTAATGAACACCCCATGACATCAACGCCGCAATTTCGACATGGGACCAGTAATCCAACATATTCGAATCAAATATTCAATAAAGCTTGCATTGAAGGAAAAAATAATCGAGTGACAAAACTGATATCCAAAGGTAGTGTGGATATAAACAACATAAGCCCTGGAGGATGGACCCCAGTGATGATTGCAGTATGTCTAGGACATACACAAGTATTTAATACTTTACTGAAAGAACAGTGCGACCTTTCATTAGTGTTAGATAATGGTGACAACATAATTCATGTGGCATGTTCTGGAAGCAATGCTGCCATTGTCAAAGAGTTAGTTTCAAACGATAAGATAAGTCTTGAGAAAAAGGACCTTTTGGGTAGAACTCCACTGATGAAAGCAGCCAGCACTGGAAATAAGAAAGTGTTTAACTTACTTGTAAAAGAAGGTTGTAATCTTTCGGCAATGGATTATGAGGGGAACAATATGCTTCATTATGCTTGCTCCGGTAGCAGTGTGTTTATAGTAAGGTATCTTTTGCGACAAAAGGTAGCTGATATAGAGAGTAGAGGTGAGGATGGGATGACCCCAGTGATGGTGGCGTCAAAGAACGGACAGAAGAAAGTGTTTGATTTCCTTCGTGGAAAAAGATGCAACCTATCGGTAGTGGATGAACTAGATAACACCGTTCTTCATGCTGCCTGCTGTGGTGACAGTGTGTATATTGTCACTTATCTTCTTTCAAATAAAATAGTTGACATTGAGAGAAGAGATGCGTGTGGGATAACGCCAGTTATGGTGGCGGCAATGAAAGGACAAACAGAAGTGTTCCATGTACTGGTAAGGAACGGATGTGACCTATCTGTAGTTGATGATCACGGGGACAACATCCTGCATAATGCTTGTTACAGTGATAATGTCAGTATTGTTAAGGACATTCTTTCACGGAAGTTAGTTGATATAAACAGTAAAGGTTACGATGGAAATACACCATTGATGGTGGCGGCAAAAGAAGGCAATAAGAAAGTGTTTGATCTCCTTGTCAGCAATGAATGTGATCAGTTTGACGTTAGTGATAATGGTGGCAACATCCTCCATGCAGCATGTCTTAGCAATGATGCAATGTTAGTTAAAGACATTTTGTTACGCGGTGTATCTGACATTGAGAGTAGGGTTGAGGATGGAGCAACACCAGTGATGCTGGCAGCTGAGAAAGGACACAAGGAAGTATTTGATCTACTTGTAAGTGAAGGATGTAATCTAGAGGTACTAGACAATGATGGTTGCAATATTCTTCATGCTGCCTGTAGTAGTGACAATGTAAAGATTGTTGAAGATATCCTCTCACGTAAGATAGCCCACATTAACAGCAGAACTTCAGACGGGCTCACAGCAGTCATGATGGCAGCAGCAAACGGCCAGAAGAAAGTGTATGATCTCCTTGCCAGGAAAGGATGCGACCTATCGGTAGTAGATGCCATGGGTGACAATATCTTGCATGCAGCTTGTGCAAGTGATAATGTCAATTTTGTGAACTGCATTCTCTCGCGTGATCTAGCTGACATAGAGAGCAGAGGTGAAAATGGGCTCACATCGGTAATGGAAGCAGCAGTGAATGGTCAGCGGAAGGTGTTTGATCTCCTCGTGAAGAAAGGATGTGATCTTTCTGTTAAGGATGATCAGAGGAACAACATTCTTCATGCAGGTTCCTCGGGTGGTAACGTCAAAATTGTTGAATACATCCTTTCTTGTGGCTATCTGATGGCTCACAATATGATTCATATTGATAGCAAGAATGAAACAGATCAGACACCAGTGATGACAGCATCTATGAATGGCCACAAGAACGTTTTTCAACTACTTGTGAACAAAGGATGTAATTTGTCAACGGTAGATGATTCAGGGAGCAACATCCTTCATCATGCTTGTGTTGGTGGTAATGTACAGATTGTTGAGTACATTCTCTTACACAACATTGCTGACATTAACAGCAGAGATAAGAATGGGCTCACACCAGTGATGGTTGCAGCTGTGAATGGACAGAAGAAAGTTTTTGATCTACTGGTGAGCAAAAAATGTAATTTATTATTGGTAGATAATTCAGATAGAAACATCCTTCATTGTGCATGTGTTAGTGACAATGTACAGATTGTTGAGTACATTATCACACAAGAGTTAGATGATCTAAACAGCAAAAATAAGAAAGGGCTAACACCAATGATGGTGGCGGAAAAGGAGTGTAACGAGAAAGTTATTAGACTCCTTGAAAGCAAAGGATATGGCATGAGAAGGATGCGACAAAATAATCGATGCTGCTTGTGTTGATATTTAAGCATCCTTTCTCACATCCCAGAGCCAATGGAGTGAGGCAAAGACATCTTCAAAATCAGAAAATGACCAAGGGCATATGGTTAGAAAGGAGATCAATGTAGCAACCTTGATCTTACGATGAAGACTTGGACGTTATATAGTTATGGACTGTTCAACTTGCAAGTATGGTGATGTTTGATATCTTCAACATCTTCACCTTAAACCCTATGTGGATCTCTAAAAGAGTATAAGTAGTGATGGGTCATTCCACAAATCAGTTGGATTGAGTGGACACCATCACCTGTGGTTTCGAAAGCTAATTGAAAAGTAGAATATTGGTTTCATATTGACACGCTTGATATTATTATTATTATTATTATTATCATTATTATTATTATTTGTTCAATATTTGATATTTGGGTAACATAGATCCATAAGATGGTAGTATACTCTTCAAAAAAAGAAACTTGACACTGACTTTCAAAATGTAACATAATGCGATTGTTTCAAAATAGGACACAGAAACCATAATTGAAACACTGTTGGAAGATCAATGTACACAATGTTCAAAACATTAATCGTGTCACCTAGACAGACACACGTACACGATACAGTTAATGTCACAGGGGTACAGAAATATCAGTATCGGTTGTGCCCACCACGTGCATCAATCACCGCTTGACACCGACGACCCGTAGATGCAATCAAGTTGTCAGTAACACGCTGTTGGATGTGCTGCCATTCATGATGAAGTGCATGAAGAAGCGCCGGAAGTGTTTGGGGCGGTGGATTCCTTCTGCGAACGCGTCGATCCAACTCGTCCCACAGATGCTCAATCGGGGACAAATCTGATGACCGGGCTGGCCAAGGTACTGTCTGGATGTTGTTGTGCTGTAAGTCCTGACAAACACGTGCAATATGCGGTCGAGCGTTGTCCTGCTGGAACTGTCCGCCATGAACGTTGACGTGAGGAAGAACGTAAGGATGTAGGATCAAGTCTCTGTAACGCACACCTTTCAATGCACCTGCCACCTGCACGAGAGGTGTCCGACCACCGTGATGAATTCCGGCCTATACCATGACAGTCAAGCCGCCAAATGGGACAACCTGCTGCACACAGTTGGGGGCGTAACGTTCACCCCGACTTCTGTAAACACGTGCGCGCCCATTAGCACGTGTGAGTAGGAAACGGGACTCGTCAGTACACAGTACATTTCTCCGCCTTGCACGTGCCCATCTAACCCTCTGTTGGCACCAAAGCAGACGGTCCGCAATGGCGTGGGGTCAATATATGACGTCGAACAGGTCTTCGTGCAAAAAGTCCAGCCTCCCTCAGTCTGTTGCGTACCGTTTGATCTGATATTCTGCGTACCCCAGGGATCTGTGTGGTTGTAGACGTGGCTATGGTAGTGCGGTCTCGGAGGTGTCGCAGCCGGATGTATCGATCTTGTGCTTGGGTTGTCACCCTTGGTCTGTCGTCAACTCTGTTGGTGTTGTTGTATCGGGTCCACAGTACGGAGATTGTCTGTCTGGATACACCAAAGTGCCTGACCACTTCTTGCTGAGTTGATCCAGCTTGTAATCTCCCAATGGCGTTGTTCCGTTGAGTTGCATTCAGTCCCCAAACGCTACGTTTATGTGCTTTGCGTGTGTTTTCGCGAATTATAGACACATCATCTTTCTGTTTGACTTATTTGGTTCTCATGTCAAGTTTCTTTTTTTGAAGGGTATATTTACAACATCCTTGTGAATCAAGTCATTAAAATTAAGTATACTATAGATAGAAATTCAGGGTATTGCAGAACACGAAGGGTACACGAAGAATCATGTCAGACAATAGATCCACCCATCCACGTTCTTCCCTCAATCGCTGATATTTACCAAATATCATGGGAGGGCATGGTTTGATTACTGTGGAGGCTCTTCATGATAGAATTGGTTTGTGCACTTTTAAACACATTTGTTTGTGTGATGATCCTTTTGTGAAGCATATCAAGAAAACAAGGCACCTTAAGTTTTCTAAAACAATCAAAGGAGTGAGCGAGGGAGTTAATGCCATACGTCACATCGGCAATATTTCAGCCATATCGTGACGAGAATTTATACATGAAATATAGATATATTTAAACTTTATAAAAATCTGTCATCGAAGGACAGTATGATAACTAGAATATCACAGATAAGATTTAAAACTAGTTGCGGAACATTTAAAAGCATTAAGTATTAAGGATCAACACAATATACAAATGGGCTAGAGATCGTCAGTAACTAAAGGGAGATCACCATACCAGGGACCATGGGGACTTACAGTAGCTTTGCTTCCTGCATGGACCCTGGCAGGATTTATATCAACCCTTCAGTCACTGGCGATAGTTTACCAGTGAAGCCTTATACTAAAATGACAAAAATCCTACGTTTTAAAATTCTGGCATGAATAACAATACTTTGAATGATGTGGGACTTACATACCATCTTAGGGGGACAATAATTTTACGCTACTTCAACCCCCCTTTGAGGGTATAGCCACTAACAATCTAAGTTAATAATTAGCACTACCAATATGTAAAATAATGCATAAAAAACATCAAAATTTATGAACAAGTTCTATTTCTTTTAAAAAACATAATATTAAACGAGAATTAACATCATTAAAAAGGTCCTTAATTGTTTTAACACTGAAATATGTATCCCTTGTGATGGAAAAATCAATACAGTCAAGCAGGACATGCTTGACCGTGATTCTTTCATGACAAGGGACACAAAACGGAGGATCCTCACCTTTCAATAAGTATTCATTTGTATATCTGCTATGGCCAATACGACATCGTCGTATTATGACCTCTTCAAATCTGGACTGACAGCCCAAGTAGGTGCAACCGATATTTGGTTTAATTTCATGTAATTTATTGATACCTACTTGGGTGTCCCACTTCTTTTGCATCAGATCACGAATGTAGGATCTAATTGCAGGTTTATAATCAGTGTAGGGGGTGGGAAGTGGTGTCACAGATTTGGTGAGTGCTGCGTTACCACAAGCATCGGCCATTGTGTTACCAGTGATACCAACATGGCTTGGTTACCAACAAAAGACGATGTCATATTGGCCAGTAGCAAGATCATTGAATAATTCGAGAATTTGGATTAAAAGTGGATGTTTCGAAGACATATTGTTAATCGCCTGAAGGCACGAAAGTGAATCAGAAAAAATAATGAATTGTTTATGTTTAGATTGATGACCAATATATTTTAGTGCTGTAAAAATGGCATGTGCTTCTGCTGTAAATATGGAACTATTATTGGGTAATCGTGAAGATATTGATCTGGATCCAATGACAGTGGCACTAGCAACTGCGCCACCATCCTTGGATCCATCTGTAAATATATATTTAAAAGTGTCGTAAGTGTTTCTTAGTTGATGGAATTCTTGTTGGTAAATTAATTGGTTAGTATCTGATTTCTTTAGTTTTGTTAATGTCAGGTCTACCTCTGGCTTTACCATTTGCCAAAGAGGAGATGAGAAAAGTTGAGTAGGGGCTATATCTTGGAGTTTAATATTAGAAGCTGTTATCCCGCGATATGCCAAGGAGGGGCACGGGCCACCGAGCCGTGCACTGGACAAAATATCATCCATTCCAAAAAAATCCAAAACTTGGAAATACCACCATTCCAATTGGAAATATGACCATTCCAATATTTGGAAAGGTCATATTTCCAAGCTTGGATTTGTTTGGAAATGTTTGGAAATGTTTGGATACAACATGTCATAATCATATCTGTTAAACGTTGTACAACTTTTGACCTTATGTGAGATTAGTAATGACATGAAAGTAAATAATTAAGAGTATTTTGGCACTATGTACCACGAAAAGACCAAATTATGAGCAAATTTAACTAAATGAAATTCTGTCATTTAAAGTGGATACTCTTTATATCTAATTTCTTATCTTCCTTGTCTATAATCATATGACATTGACTTTGAACTTTGAACAATTAAACAAATATTTTGTTTTCCCATACCGACTTACGGTTGTCGTAGAACAAAGACCGTTTCGAGAATATAGAGGGCCTCATTATTATAATTTGAACTAATATACATATGTACATAATAGTACTAGGTATAAATGAATTTTGATAAGTGTTCGTACAAGAATATGAAATTCGAATGATCTCGGAATTAGGGCTGAAAATTTTATAATTGTTCTGGAACTATCTGACGGTAATTCAAAACAGGGAACAATATTTCGTCAAATGAATCATTGAGCCAGGAATGCAACGATTTAAATGCTGACAAAATGAATAAACATATCTGGAACAGAGTAGACTGTTCATGTGGACAATTATATGCTACGTCTATTGCCAATGAAGTTTATCACCCCATGTTATAGCATTTGTTTCATATAAAAGATAGAAACCAAATAAATGGGACAATTAGTTGTAATGAATTAGCTTTACCTCTGTGACATATCACACAACTAAATGTGAATATCTTTATCAAATAATCAATTACAGTAATTAACCTAGTGTCCTTATATATACACAATTCAATTACGTATTGGGGTACAATATATAATACACATATACACCGAATGATTTCTTATTTTGTCAATTTAATCATAACCCAAATCATACAAATCAAAGTGTGAAAGTAGTGACTAACTTTATGATCAAGGGTATAAATACTCAATTGTATCTATTAATCCTAATAGTATAACAATAAACCCTGTGTATATACTGAGCATATTTAGATACATCCGGATCTACGACCGCAGCCATATAATCAATCGAGGAAAGTATATTAGATTGAATTACAAATGTGCTATCACTTAAACAAAATTTTCCGTTATCCACGTAAGCCTAAACCTGAGAGAAATACAGTTCTGTTCTGTTCTGAAGACGCCGTCATGATTAGTTGGCGCCAGTCTAGACTGTCCAATCAACGTGAATATACAAACCGTGATGTTACTTGACCAGTTGATGACACCAGTCAAACTCAAAGTGCCCCTGGTCCTCCACCCACCATGTGTAATACTTTAGCGTACTTGATTGTTTAATTTGCAGTTATATCACTGTTAGGCTGAGTGATGAGAGAATACATTTTGTTGTTTTTGTTAACGATCGTTTCCATTTTCAACGTGGTAACCTTATAAGTGACTAACTTTTTTATCATGATGAAATGAAACATATTAAAATAATCAGAGGGACTTCCGATCGTATTTTTCGCATAAATGTCATGCTCGCATTAATTTCATGATTTACTGAAGATAGATTTGAACATTTCTGAGCAACGATCATGTTTGGGTAAGGGAAGTAATCTTGTCTCCGCTTGCAATTGGATTCAGTTCCGAGATCGCAGCTTGACTGTTCGGTACGGCCGAAAGGCGGCATCCATGTTGTTCACGCTCCGCTGATCACGGGGCCTCATTTGTCTGTATTCTGCTAATGAGCCGGGATGCGCATGAAACACGGGTGTCAAAACGAATATATTTACCAATTATACGTACGGTCAATTAGCCAGTCCAAGAGACAATACCCTGGTTCTACCACCTTTAGGTGTAATTACGTCGCATGCCCCTGGTTCACGGTTCGTCTGATCTCCCGTCATAAAACCACGGTGTTTATTTACCTGGAGCCTCCGACAGCGCCGACTTCCTGTGTACATGTACGTACATGGCAATAAATGGTTTGACAGTTGTTTGACGGAATCAATCAATAATTATTGACACGGTGATGTAATTAAAATTTGTCACTATTCACAACTGTATTTTCGACCAGTTTTATATGTATAAAAAATCTTCTCTTGTATTTATAAACCAAACCTAAAAACATTATATAAGAACAATTGTGTTTTTAAACCGTTACTTTTCTTTTTAAACAACCATGCAAGTAAGATTTCAGCCGTAATATTACTTCAGTCACTCCACAGATTACACATCTTATATGCTGCAAACGCAGCGAATGTAATGCTACTACGTCACATCAGCCTCGGTAATTAAGGGCTGGAATGTTTTTGTGAAGGCAGTTAGAGCAGACGAATTTCCCCCCTCGCTGTATAATGACGGTCGCTATCCTTATATTTGTATTTTTACTGTTTTTGGCTTGATTTGATTGTCCTTTGGTGAAAACAAATGTTCAATTGTGAAAGCAAACCCTTTTCCCTTGAACGTTAAAAGACGGCTGACTTTGTTTTTGTCTGAAATATCAACGGCGACTGCTGTACAGATTTCGGTCGATTGCAGGATTTGTAGAGCATGTGTTCCGTGAAATGGGCGTCTAAATGCCTAGTACATGACAATCAACCAGTGTTCCTTGTACCTTTGTAGCAAAGCCGTGGAGCTTTCCCACAGATGACGTAATTACCTCGGCAGCTTGAATCATGACATTTGACCATGTCCACAAGACATCCAAAATTGGTGTCTTCAGCAACCAATGCTTGCCGTAAAAGGCGACTATGCTTGTCGTAGGAGGCGACTAACGGGATCACTGACTAAGTTGATGCATGGTATCGAACCAAATTGCATGGATCGATGCTCATGATATTAATCACTGGATTGTCTGGTCCAGGCCCGATTATTTACAGACCGCCGTCATATAGCTCGAATGTTGGGTGCGGCGTTAAACAACAAACCAATCAAACCAATCCAAAATTGAATCAGAAATTCTGTTTCGAATCCAACCACGGGCCTCGGAAATCTGATGTTCGCTACACTTTAAAAAATCCGTGCATCTAAGGTGAGATGAAATGGGTTTACTATTCCGGTCACGAATGTTGCACTTATGTATTGTTGGGCGTGCATGCATATACTAGCCCGGACTAGTTACGCAGACTATTCCGGATGTTGAATTATTTTGCAATTCCCTAATAGATTCCTCGCTGCATTCGTGAACAGCATGTTATTCCGGGACAAGCCGAATAGCAACTCGTACCCCTCTCATGGCCATTTTTGCGACCGGGTACTGTCTTAGCGCAAACGGGCATAGCTAAAACAATTGTCAACACGTTGCGTAATGGTTCACATATATTATATATTTTTCAGATGTAATTTAAAGTGCATCTGGACATGCGGAATTATACAGTATGATTGAACACACTTAACTGTGTTTTGGTACATTTTTAGATGCAAGACATATGTAAAATCAAAAATAATTTCTGAGGGATTCTTTGACGAAGAACTTAAAATCATACGCGCATTCTGATTGGTTTGTCGTATTTTCGCGCATAACATTCATCGATGGGGCCAAGAGTCTTCTTGCAGGTTACGGAAATGGGCGAGTGGCGACGTGTGTCCTCTGTTGTCTGATCCGTATCACATACCTTTATTACATTAATAAGAGAACTAAATATATTTTTGTAGGTTGTTTGTAAACTTAGATTCCTCGGATAAAATTCACAACTATATGGAGGATCGTATAGCATGAATTATGTACGCACAAACATGAGAAGATTTCGAAATTTGTGAAAGAAAAGTCTTAGTCCAACATATATTACAATATGTGCCTTTGATCTTGTATATACTGACACACTTCGAAAAAAGCAAGTTGGTAATATGCACAAAATCAAAATTTGGGGTGGTACAATGACACGCAATCAACCAAGTCGCCGTGCCTGACCAATTGCAACCGATACATTGTCACCTCTAACTACAAACTGGAGCTCACGTCCAACTCGGAATCACCACGGGGTTTGAATATTACATTGTGGAAATTATTATTAAACCAAAATCCACCTTACTGACATTTTATTTAACATCTAAGTTTACAATCTTAATTTGCAAGTAAAACATTAAGATAAATGAATTGAATTGGTTGATAAATGTGCTCTTTAAAAAAATACATGCATTTGTCGATAAGCTTTGACGCTGGAAGAATAGGAGTTATCGTTCTTGTTTGAAGCAGCATCTGATGTTCATACCTCTGCATTCCTTCAAGGGAAACCAGTCTCCTTTTGGCGCGAGTTGGTCACGAAGAATTCAGATGGCATTCAACATGGTATGTGTCCGCCATTAGCGTTAACTGTCACACATCACGTAACACATTTTACTATTCGTGTTTCTGTTGTCGTACATCATATAAAAGCTATGAATCCTGTTCTGTATGTTTTGTTGATACCAATTTATAGGGAAGAATTTGGCATTAAGAATGGCTGTTATAAATGAAAACCGCTCCCCATTATAGTCAGGGACCCCATGTAGGAGGCTACCGCAGTGTTGAACAGAATTCCAGTCATATCACGGCGTGTCAGCTTGATGTGTGAGGAGAGCCTGAAATGATGCAGTTCGTACACGTTTGGCACTAAAACCAGTCAGAAAGAGCGTGGTGCTTACAAATTGGGATCCGGGATTCGAACCCACGCTCAGGGATCCAGGCAGGAGACGTGGCAGCAACTAGTAACCAGGTGACAACTTGACAACATTATATAGCCGAGTTTAAAACTTTATTAAAAACAAATTTACAAATGTCATGAGTGAGTGAGTACGGTTTTACGCCGCTTTCTTTTAGCAATATTCCAGCAATATCACGGCGGGGGACACCAGAAATGGGCTTCACACATTGTACCCATGTCGGGAATCGAACCCGGGTCTTCGGCGTGACGAGCGAACGCTTTAACCACTAGGCTACCCGACCGCTAAAAATGTAATAAGGGAAAGCACCAAATAATCACACATTTAAACAGACACGTTTTCTTACAAGATGTTACAATGAGACAATGAAAGGTGTATGACAAATATATAGAAACATATACATGTTTTATCATGGTTTTGTGGCTTTTGACTGCTCTTAGCTGTATATTAAGAATATCAGAAAATAAGACACTGACATGTAAACAATCGAACCTAACCCTTTAAACACTTCAACGAAGATATCACCTCAAGGTAAAACGTTTATACTTTATGAATATGTGGTTATAGATATGAAATATTTATCGTCATTGATATCACTGGAATTTACAATGACATGATCAAATGTGACCCAGATCAACATTTCGATTTACTTTTTGACTTGTTTGTACAGTTTAATTATGGTTTGATACCTCTCTTTTTACTGATGCTTTGAAGACTATACTTGTTTGGAAGGTATCAAATGAATACATCCAGAGCAGCATGGCTCAACCACTTCTGTATGTATCCATTCTCATGAAAGGCCGAAAGAAAGTTTCCAAATTAAGATGAAAAATGCAGACAGAATTTGAAGCATTGCGGCACCCTGTGTGTATCCTACAACTATATACACTAAACTTTTGAATTCCCCGAGTGTCAACATATTCACGTTTGATCTGTACTTATTTGTATTCAGATGTATATATCCAGGGCAGCATGGCTCAACTACACCTGTATATATCCATCCATCTGATAGATACCAAAATAAATATCATGTGACGGTTTTGGAGTTAGTGGTAATAGAACAGGGGGGTAAGAATTACGTTGTACCCCAAAACAGGTGACGTTGAAAGACAATTATAACCGATCTAGGAGAAGGGATTTGAATTAAAGAAAGACTTGGTTAACTGTATGAACTGATATGTGATGTAGTCAGCATCCTTTGTAACTATGATTATACAGATTGTCGTGTTGTAGGCTTCAGTGTGACAAGCACAGATGTGGGAGCAGCATGGCTATGGGGACACTCCAGTCCTGGAGAGTTGATATACATCGTGGAGGACAGAAGCTGGGTCCATACTAGTCCATTGGTATTCGGGGGAAATGCCTGTTGAAGAGATACATTCGTTTTATATGAATGCAGATGGAAGATGGTTAATCACGCATGTGTATATTCATATCTCTATTATCAACATTATTTCACTAGGGACATATAATGCGTCATTCGAGTAGCGAGTAGGGGGATATTCTATGTATTACCACAGTCACCTCAGGTGTTTTTGTGTTATCAGTAGTGGAGACATAATCTCAGTTCCAATAACAGATTGACTACGTCACAGACAGACGTCATCAACAAGGAATGGCATCAATAATCATTATATGCAAGCCGTGACTAGATATGACGTGACGTTGCTGGGGTACGTGTCGCAAACAATGTGACAACGGAAGGACGTAGACAGTAAGCATGGAGAAGAAATTTTAATGCTCAGTGACATTTTACTGAAAATAATTGTATCAGTACCTTTGGCCCTATGGATAAATATGCTATACTACAATTTCTTGTCATTATTTGCCTACTGATATATGACAGGGCCGTGGTATGGAATCGTATTAGTGCAACAGTCTAAAATATAGCATCTACGTATATAGAGGTTATCACGCGAGTGTGTTTGGGGATGGTAAAGATCCTGCATCAGGAACAAACGTCGTATTTAGCGAGCCTTGGCGAGATAAACATAGTGTTTATTCGTAATACAGGATATTTACCATCCCCAAACACATTCGCGTCCTACATAGAAGAAAGTATCTTCCTCATCGAATTGTCACACTGTTTTACAATGGTAATAAGGTGAGTACAAAATGTTCTCCAACTACAAACAAAGAAACAACCATAGGTCATTACTCAAACCTTTAGCTGAGTTACAACATGATGGGAGCTGAAGAAATCACTCGAATATGTTGTTTGTCATGATTTCTCTATTACTGAAAGTGGGTTTAGGAGGTAAAACGCGAATATGAAAGCATGAGAATTATCCAAACTATATAAAACTTTTTCAAACCAATACCCGTCAAATCCAATGAAGCACTGAAGGTACAATTCTGCAGTATCTGTGTTTTTATTTCAGAGCTGATTGTTTGACAATTTGAAATGATTCGAGTATGTTATACAAATATGGAAAGGCCAAATAAACGCGCTGCCAAATATTTAATTAGGAATCAGCTAAACAAAGGTTTGTATAAACTAGTGTCCAACTAGGGTCGCAACTTCACAAGACAATATCACTGTCTGAGTAAAGAAACGTATATATAATATCTAAAATCGCATACGTCGACGAAAGTGTAATGGTAATATGTCTGAGACTGGCACTAACACGCTACCATTCTGTGGTGAGCCACGGTGACTACTACAGCTGGTATACAATCAATACTACAGACATTAACTGCAGCGACCGAGCGTTCATACACTCACCATTGATTAGAACGGCGACGGTTGCGGTAGACGGGGCGGTGTATAGCTGCAGCAAGGGTGCCTGTAAAAGTTGAGATTGTGATCAGATGTCATTTGCTTACATAGGAACAGAAGTTTAGAACTGAATTGACCAAATGCGTGTTTTGTAAAGGGAAACTGTCTATAAGTGAGGCTAAACATTTTTAACCATCAAAAAAGCCCAGGTTGAAACTTACCTTATCATCCCTGCACGTCAGTGGTAGACTGATACTGCCAACATCCTACCTTACACCGCACATGATTGGGAATATTCTCCATCAACTCATTGTATCATGAATGTCAACCGAAATATTTTGTTGAGTTGTTTTAACCAAATGCAATTTCATACGTTCTCGGAAGATACCAGTGAGATATGACACGCTCATTTTAAAACGAGTACATAATTCCTGAATAAAAATTAATCTTTTACAACTATCCCCTGACTAAAGACGCTGACCAAATACAATTACCCGAGAAAAATGTTTGCGAATACAACCGAGTCATCGTTCAACTAGAAGGTGTTAGCGGGTGTTTCAGGTAGAAATGTGAGCCATGAAACATGGAACGCCCCTCAACACCTCAGAGCTGCCGAGTCATCAGGAGGTACACATGGACAACATCCGGGACTTGTAAGAGGACGATCGTGTCAAAAGCAGGATGCTGTACCAAGTTTTAAACATACAAAACAGATCCTGATCATTCCAACATGTTAAGTTGGCATCATTGGATCATCCTGGTTATGTGAAGATTGATGAAATGCTTTGTATAGTTTAGTAATAAGATACATGGATAAAGAGTGTATCAGAGGGTGTCAATTCCTGCACATGAAGCGGTGTAATTGGTGGATGTTGGAGAAGGTAGCTGTCACCGCACCTGAAGAAAAACAATATTTTGTTAATTTCAGAAGTATTTAATCACTTTTTAAAACAAATATGACGATCAATTAACATTTTTTGAAGACGGATAAATAATTTAGGAATTGCATGCACTAATATGACAACTGTATCTTTATACATTAAGAATTAATTCCTACAGTATAAATGATTCCTTTACAGCTTCAGTTTTACTTACTGCATCTTAGGAGGTAACACCAGATGGCTTGAAGGAGGAATGAGTCAGTGACTGTTGGACTGTTGACGGTGAGACCAATGGCAGCTGGAGGGTGAGGCTGATGTTGGTGGAAAGTGAGGGTGGACGGCAACTACGCCTGGCAACTGTTGAGGTGACTGAGGCTGCGCTCTGGTCAGTCGGAACGACACCTGAAGTGATGAGATTTTCGTTAACATATATGAAAGAGGATTTAACAAGCATCAGGATAGGAACATCTATTACTAGCCATCACTAATCTACTAACAATAACTTTAGGAACAATAACTTTGTTTACGGTTAGACCATGGACAGCTGGACATGTTGGCTGGTCCGGATTAGTTTGATAAGAGTTTAGAGTATGTCAGGTGATGTACCTGAGGCAGGTGGAGGTTGAGGCAGGTGGAGGTGGAGGCTAGTGCCAACTGAGGCTGTAGGTACCAGGTGGCGACTGAGGCTGGTGGCAACTGAGGCTGGTGGCAGGTGGCAGGTGGCGACTGAGGCTGGTGGCGACTGAGGCTAGTGGCGACTGAGGCTGGTGGCGACTGAGGCTGGTGGCGACTGAGGCTAGTGGCGACTGAGGCTGGTGGCGACTGAGGCTGGTGGCGACTGAGGCTGGTGGCGGCTAAGGCTTGTGGCGACTGAGGCTAGTGGCAGGTGGCGACTGAGGCTGGTGGCGACTGAGGCTAGTGGCGACTGAGGCTGGTGGCGACTGAGGCTGGTGGCAACTGAGGCTGGTGGCGACAGATGCTGGTGGCGACTGAGGCTGGTGGCAACTGAGGCTGGTGCCAGGTGGCGACTGAGGCAGGTGGCGACTGAGGCTGGTGGCGACTGAGGCTGGACACAACCTTTAGCAAATAAATTAATGTAACAGTTTAAAAAATCTTATTCTTAATTCAAAGACTGGTTGACTCGTTTGTTATTTCAGCATATTCATGAATTCCCTTGCCAAACTCGATATACATTGAGTTTTCTATTTGACAAGAATTGTGTCAACATGTGTTATTGTGCTTTGTCTTGACACACTAATATCATATGCGTTAGACCTGTTCCTCCTTGACGAGGTGTATTGATTTGGAGTTTCTGGAACATCTAAGGGTGGTAGTGTTACCATTGCATGTGGAAAGGTGAGGAAATGAATGTTGTAGAACGCCCCAGACAGCAATATTACAGCTAACATTTGACTGACAAGCGACTAGTGGTCGATGGGATTGTAGAATGATCAATGTAAGTACAATCACACATGTGACTGGCCCTAATTGTATTCAACAACATTTAGGTACCGGGTTATCTATTCTGCCCTGGGTCACCTCGAGAGCATATAGAAGAACCATGTTAAATGTGGGTGAGTGGGTGAGGCCCGAACTCGCTAAATGCAATGTCTGTTCCAAATACAGGATATTTATTATCCAAAAATACACTTGCGTGATAACCTCTATTTTTACTTATTGATAGTATTTGCCCACTGGTGTCTAAGGCTTTAGGTGGAATCGAGTGGCGTGAATGTAAAGTATCCAGTTAAATTGCATGGATCTAGCGTTCATATACTAGTACTCACCATAGACTAGAGCGGAGGTGTGGTTGACGGAGGTGTGGTAGACGGGGGTGTGGTAGACGGGGGTGTGGTAGACGGGGGTGTGGTAGACGGGGGTGTGGTAGACGGACGTGTGGTAGACGGTGCGGTGTACAACTGCGGCAAGGGTGCCTGGACAAGTACAGGTTGTGTTCAGATGTCAATTCTTACAAACAGGAACACAAACTTAGAACTGAATTGATCAAAGTCGCGTCGAGTCAGGGAATAAATAGGTAGGACGGTTTGTACTTCCTAAGAAAGTTGTTTGGAACAGCCTATAGAATTTAGAATTGAATTTACAATCGCGGTGTTCTAGAGGTCTGGGAGTTCCGAATGTCTTACGACAGTTGTTTGGAACGGACTGTCTATTAAGTAAGTGACACTTTTTAACCATCAACGCACAGTTTTAAACTTACCTTGTCACTAAGTTCTGTTCAACAAACATCCATCTTCGTTGTAGACTGATATTGACAACATCCTACCACAGCACCGCACATGATTAGGAAGAGACGTCTTCAACTCAGTGTATCAAGAAAACAAACTGAAATATTTTGTTGAGGTGACGCAACCAGTAAGGTCTGACACGCTCATTTCAATGCTGGTATTAAAATCGTTCACAACAATCCCCTGACTGACGTTGACCAAATACAATTACCCGAGAAAATGTTTGTGAATACAACCGAGTCATCGTTCAACTAAAAAGTGTTAGCGGGTGTTTTAGGTAGAAATGTGAGCCATGAAACATGAAACACCCCTCAACACCTCAGAGCTGCCGAGTCATCAGGAAGTACGCATGGACAACATCCGGGACTTGAAAGAGGACGATCGTGTCAAAAGCAGGATGTCGTACCAAGTTTTAAAAATACAAAACAGATCCTGATCATTCCAACATGTTAAGTTGGTATCTTTGGATCATGCCAGTTGTCAAGATTGATGAAATTCTTTGAATAGTTTATAGATAAGATACACGGATATCGAGTGTATCAGAGGGTGTCAATTCCTGCACATGAAGCGGTGTAATTGGCAGGTGTTGCAGAAGGTAAGATGGCACCACACCTGAAGAAGAAACAATATTTTGTTAATTTCAGAATTATTCAATCACTTCTATAAACACGTTTAGATCATGTCTGTAATGTCCTTCTTGAAGTTGTTTTTAGTGGACGGACGAGTATGGATAATGAATGCACTAACATAACCGCTGTTAAAGTGTACTATAAAGCAGAAAATCAATCTTGTTTCAAATTGACGGGAAAATGTTTGCTCTATAGAATTAACTTCTAGAGAATAATAATACGTTTATAACTATAGTTTAACTTACCGCATTTGAGGATGTAACACCAGATTAACCTTGTCGCCAATGACAGCTTGTG